ACATATCTGCCTATACCTCTGGAATGAAATAAATCTGAATGAAATCATTCGGAATTAAAGTCTTTCCAGGTAGTTTACATGAGAAATATTCATTCCGAATGAGGGTTTACACAGGAGATCAGTTTAATCGCCTTTTAATCGCCTTTATTCGGGTCCGCGCAAGGTTTGGGGCATGGAAGGTTTCTGATTGGATATGGGGCGGGGCAGATGTTACGTGTTTATGTTTACCGGAAAAAAACACTGTAGTCCTCGCTTCGGTTAACAAGATGCTTGACGACGCTTCAGTCGCATTGGCCATTTTCATTCAGAATCAGGTGTTTACAGGATCACTTTTAATAGGAATGAACTCTCATTCCGAATGAAAAGGGAATTAAACTGTCCATGTAAACACACTCAATGTTGCCATAGTTTTTGCCATATCCCCACACCGTTGGCACTAGTCAGCCCTTCTCAGCCCTTGTCAGCCGTCGTCGGCCCTTGTGGCTTTTTTTTAGGCCAATTCAGCATGTTGAATCGGCATCTGGGAGACGGCAGAGCCCATCGGTGTATAAAATCACTCTGAATGGCATTTCATCTCAGTGCACAGGCAGAGAAATGGAAGTGAGAAAAGTAAACAAACAGCTAAAGTCAAGAGGTAGGGGGATCGAAACAAACTTGTTATGTTAGGTAAAATTAATTTTAGCCATTAAGCTTTTTAGCGAAGACATTTCATTGCTAATGTGTCACTGTTCAACAGCACACAATGTATATCATTCTTTCAATTACAGGATGTGTTGTGAATGTGCTAACTGGCTAACTAGCATTTTGAATCCGCCCTGCTGGTCTTCCGGTTTCCTTTTTAAAATACAGACTACCGCCACCTGCTGGCATGGAGTTATTTCCGCTCACGTATATGCTAGTTGGCTGTCGGCTGTAGTCTTTGTGGTGTGTTCAAGTGCAATTTTTTGGCCAAGACAAAGGCGACATGAGGTGACGCAACAGTTGGCCTTCATCACCACAAGTTCTTTGATGTCAGTTTGTTGTGTCTGGGTCTTTAGAGTAATTTACAATCACATTATAATGGATTATAACATGATCATAATTTATTACAACTGAGAATTATAATACACTATGATCATTGCAAAAAAGAAAAAGTCAGTGAGTAACCAGCAACTATTAAGTATTACGATACTTCAGTTGAATTATGCGTTATGGTTATCATTATAAAGCAGCATTATAAATGACAGTTACACAGTGCTATATGCAGACTGTTACACATTACTAAGTACTTTTATTATGCATTATAGACTTGCTTCATGGTAAGTGTTACTGAAACTACATTAGCTTCGACATTAGGAGTGAAGACTTTTCAGTAGGCATTAAGCAGGTGGTGCAGCAGCAGATTCAGAAGAAAATGGAGGGTGTAGGCGTGTAGCAGAACGTAGGCTGAATGCAAATTAAAATCAGGCACAAAGCTGGTCAAGTTTCTGCCTGGAGCGGTGTTGCTGCAACAGTGTGCAACACAATGAAAACACGAGCTTAAACACAAGAAAGTCAAACACAAATCTGTTCATGATTTAGTCACAGATGCAAAAACTTGTCACCAAATTCTAATTTAGGAGACAAAAAGTAGCAGAGAAAGTGTGCATGTCCATATGGCTGGAGGAAAAATGGTGATTTTCCCAGTGTAAATTCACCCGTAAAATCAAACGTAGGTCAAGAAGGCAAAATAATTAATGAGGGAAAATATGCTTAGCTACTGCCACCTACGCCTCCATCATCGCTGTTTCCACCGCTGCCAGCTTCGCTGAGGCTTCTTACAGCCAGACCCAAGCTGTAAAAGGCCACAGCCTCATACTCTAATACGATAACTGTGAGACTGTATTTCTAAAGGAGCCGTTATCTCACTTGTGATCTCAGGCGTGTTTCTATTCATGCTTTTAAAACTTGGCTACAGTTTTGGTTCAGAACTGGCTGCAAAACATCAAATCTCCTTCACTCACCTGTGCAGAGAGGCTCATAATCTTCAGCCTGTAGCGCTGCCAGACTGGGGTATCGGTGCCAGTGTCCACCAACTCATCCATCTGTTTCACCGTCTTAATTGTGGTGACCTTGGATGAAAAGACACAAGTCCTTCAGCCAGATGTCACTGAGTGAAGTTTTTTTTAACTACTATAAGTGGCATTTCTTCCTGAATTTCATTTAAAAAAACGTCAGGCAGATAACACAGTAGTGACACTTGTTAATCTCTTGTAGATGTTACATAAATTGGGAGATATAAATACAGTCTCCTTGTCCGTTTCATGGCTTGTTTCACTACAAGATAGCATTTGGATAATTACATATGTTGTACCTTTAATCCTAAGAGACCTGCAGGACCGCTGGGAATCGACATTACTGTCTTTTCAAAGACTGAGAAGCTAGGGTGAAGACACTAGTATCATGGGCAGGGGGTTAAATGACACTCCATAGTTAAGCTTAATTTTGGCGAGGGAAAAACTGGCATGGCCATTTTCACAGGTGAACTCTCACCTCAAGATATCTGACTGAAAATGGGTTCTACTGGTTCCTACGAGCCTCCCCTTTACAGACATGCCCATGTTATGCCAATCCCAAAATGGGCAAAAAACATGCACCCAGCCTATTGTATTTGAATATTTCTGCATACTGGGGTTCCTAAACAGTCTTGGAATTGCATACATTGGATATGACTGGAAAATTGAGACTCTTCTGGATTCAGTGAGCCCAATTTTATTAATGTCTGATGAGGTTAGTTCCCATAGTAGCTATTTCATAGTAATGAGACCATTTTTTAAACAGACCTCACTGTATAAAATGACCTACCGTGACCTCTAGTATAATCAAACCCTTATGAAACTTTACAGCCACAAACTAGAGACCTGACACATTAAGAAAATGTGTGGCTTTCATAGGTATAATGGCAATAAGGGGATATCTCAACAGTTTCTGGAACAGAAGTGCTCATCATCCACTCACTGAAAAAAATTTCATTTAGCATTAAAACTGTGTAAAAAATGGTATCAACCCAAAAATTGCTGCAACAACTTAGGAGACATAATTGATGACAGGAACGGTCATCATACTTTCATCATGTTCCAAGCCCTTAAAATGTTCTAAGTTTGAATAGGCGCCTAACAAAAACAATTACATATTATATATTATATAGACTAGGAAAACTTGGCACACAGTGCTGAGCTGCATCTTAAATATTCAGGTTCCCAGCTTTCAGATGAAGTATACGCCTTCTATGTGGCATATACTGTCAACCTGCTATCTCCCCTCATGGATCCCCTGTCCCACCTAAAACAACAAAAATGGGGGAACTATTTCTATGCACCTGACTGTTTTGATTTTTATAGGTGAAAATCTGATTCCCTGTGTTTTCATTGCATCAGATTGCAGCTAATTTATCGTCTATGTTGGAAAGGTCATACAGCTGTGATCCAAGGTGAAAAAGGTTCAGGCTGTGTCAACTGGAGACGAAAGGTTTAATAACTTTTAGCTTCCACTAAAAAACACCAGTGACCTTTGTGGCATGTGTCTGTTTGCTGTTGTGTGCTGGGGCGGCAGGTTGAGAGTAGTGGACGTCAACAGACTCAATAAACTGATCCACAAGGCCAGCAGTGTTGCGGGGGTGGAGCTGGACTCTCTGGTGGCAGTGTTAGAGAGCAGGATGCTGTCTAAGTTACGTGTAATCTTGGACAGTTTCTCCCACGCACTCCATGATGTGCTGCTCAAACACAGGAGTAGACTTCTGCCCCTGAGATGCACCACTGAGCACCACAGGAAGTCATTGCTGCCTTTGGCCAGCAAACTTTTCAACTCTTATCCTTCTCAGTATCCTAATTCAGTCTTACTTACACTACTTTTGCATGTGTACTTTATATTGCACACATTGCACATATTTCTCTTATTTTCTATTCATACATAAATTGTTTGTACATTGTAGCATAACACACATATTTTTTTATTTCTAAAAACTTAATATGCTAGTTTTACACCCCTAACTTATCGAACACCGCTGCTTGATCGGTGGCCTTACACGTCAGACTATGACGCACGAGGTACGCCTCCTGCTTCAGTTTTTGACGCACAGGGACTGTTAATTTACGCTCATCATAGACATGCATTGTGTCTTCTCAAAAATAAACTTCCATTTTCACTGTCAAGCTTGTTTGAGCCACCCGTCTCCCCTCTCACCCAACCCATGTGGACTATCTTGCTTTATACTACTGTAGTGTCACAAAATGTTGTGGCTCATACTGCCGCTAAATGTGCTCTGTTCCGTCAGTATCTGACGCTAAGGGCCACTGACTGAGCATTAATATTTGTTGAGCTACTGAAACCGGGTGACGATGCCTATATTTTTCAATACCTTACATACTAGTATTAAACACTGAAGCATTTCTACAGGTTTCTACTTTCTTATAATTTTCTTTGCAATATATTGAAACAATTGTAATGTAGCACAATTCCCCCAGAGGATCAGTAAAGTATTTCTGATGTCTGATATCACTCACAGTCGTTCTCTCTCCTTCTGTCTGCTGTTGGCTTTCTAATAAAGGCATAAAAGGCACCAAAACGTAGTCTTGGCTGTGAGCTGATCAAAACTATGATTTAATATAATGATATTTTCTCGGAGATACTCACAGAAAACACCCTCTCTGGGTATCCCTTTGCTCGCATGTTAGTGTCATGGACTAGCTTCAAAATCATCCAGCCTTCGTCATGTTTGCCATTCTGTTTGAGAAAACAAAAAGTGAACATCATCAACATTCGTTTACTCAAGACATTTCACATATGACTCTGGGTATTATGTTCATACTAACTCAAACATGAGTAAAACTAATAGTGTCAGACTGTCAACAAGAGCATCTTCTAACCTCTAAGTAGAAGCGTGGGCTCTCTGGCATGGCACTGAGGGCAGCGATGGCGGCAACAGAAGGAAATGCGCACACTAACACAAACACACGCCAGCTATGGAACTGATACGCCGAGCCCATCTGGAAGCTCCATCCTGAAGGGATACAAAAAACAAACCAACACAAAGAAATGAGCTTTTGCCCTACAAATGTGAGTCTGTCAATAACAGAAAAGGTCATGCAATCAATCTTTATCAAACACAGGCTGGAATATATTTAATTTAACGTGACACTGCATGAACCATGCTCTTATTTTCCCCCCTGAAGCGAAGCGGCTGAAGTCAGAGGTCAGCCGCAGTGCAGAAATCACATAAGCTTAAACCTGCAAGATATTATCAACAAGAACTGAAGCTGTTGCTGCAAAAATGTCAAAATCTGAAGGTACAGTTGGACAAGCTTGTTCACTTCGCGGTGGAGAATTAGATGAGAAGATACCACTCTGATGTTTGTTTGTTAAATACAAAGCAACAGTCAGCAGACAGTTATCTTATCTTAAAGACTTTAAATATTATTTTGGGTTAACCCCTTAAATTTCAAACTACTGCTTTAAGCATGAATTAAAATAAGGACAACACAACCTCCTTAATTCAGGGATAGGGGACTGTACTCACCATAATGTGGGATGATACCCCAGGCCATGGCAGATGCGTAAATCCCCCCAATCATCCAGAACATGCAGAGCCAACTGAGGTGCTCACCACGCTTCTCTTGGGACAGAAATTCAGAGTAGTAGGAGAACACGATGGGAATCGAGCCACCAATCCTGCAAAGACCAGAAACCAACTGAGTCAAACTGTCTCTCTGTTAAAGCACGTATAGCTTAACCTGTTCAGAACCCAATAATGATCCAAACACAAAAAGATTAAGATACTTTATTAGGTGTTATTTTTTTCTGTCCATTCGAGTGGACGGCGAATCTGAACGCAGAAATCACCTTAGAGTAAAAATGACATTAAATGAACTGTCCACCTGTCATTCCAGTGGATGGATGTCTTTTAAAAGATCTTAAGGAAAAGCTGACAATCTGTCATATGATGTATGATGTAGCGTAAAACTTCAATTAATAGCCCGGGCTATTATTTGCTTAAATCACTGAAATCAACAGGCCTGTGTTTAGCACTCGAGGATTACGGCACCTGGCATACCGACACAACACCTCTTTTTCCTGTTAAAACAAAACTCACAACTTGGATTAATTTCTATGAAAACCCTTTTGATTCTTTAGATCTGAGGACCCTTACGGACCAAAGGAATATGAATTACTTGCAGGGTAATCAAGGAATGGGCACATCATTTAAGATAGCCAGCAACCAGGTTTTATACATCCGAAGAATTTCTATAAAAGAAACGAGCCGCTTGGCAACCAGACCAGGCATCTAATTGAGACAGGCCTTTATTTGTCAAAACGTGTAGCTACACCAGGCTAGTAAAAGGAACTGGGCATTTAACTGGGACTTACCTTTTAATTGAAGTATTATGGTACTTAAGCAATATATCATGGTGCGTTCTTTTTGTACTCGGAGGTCGGAAGTAGGAAGTGGGAATGACGTCACTTCCGAGTTGACAAGAGTTTTTGCATTCTACTTGACAACGGTGGACAAGTCGGAAAAAAACATGGACGCCCGCAAGAAAGCCTTTGTTGCCCTTGCGCTTTCTGAGTATAGACAGCTTCAAAACCATCATGCACTCCAACTGATGAACGCCGCAGATGAGGCTGACCCAATGTAAAACAAATAAGCAGAGTGTTTACTCACTATGTATGTGACCGGCAGCCATCTTGAATTCGTAAGTCGGGGTTGATGCAGTTGCTCTGAGTTTCCGAGTTGGAAATCCAATCTCAGAGTGTGTTCGAATTTAAATTCCCACTGGGAACTGGGAATTTCCGACCTCCCAGTACAAAACGAACGCACCATTAATAGACTGAAACATGCCTTGCACTTCCTGTTTGCCATGCTTGTCGAAAAATGGAGCATGCTCTGCTGCAGTCGACTTTAGATGATGTGGAACACTGTGATTGGCTTACAGACATCCCATCAAATAGGTCTGTGCATTTGGGTGGAGTCAGGTGACAGTAATCACAGATCTAAGCATCCTAGAAAAGTGTTTTGTTCCAAGAAATAAAAGGTAAGTTTATCTATATCTTATTAAATGTCCTGAAACACCACATGAACTGTACGTATTGGTTCTTTAAATTGCTGATACACTTTGTCAGCCACTGTTTACTTGGAATCACTGCACTGTGGATTATTTGCTTCCATTAGTCCATCACATTAGTGCAGAACTAACTCATAAAGCTCTGTGGGAAAGTGATTGATCTTTACCACAAATGGAAATGATTTTAGTACCTCGATTTGTCTCTTCACTAAATAAGAGAAACTACTGCTTTTAATAATGGGAAGACTCCATTAAAATTGGTGCGCTTCATCAAATATGAAAAGGTGTGGTGGTTCTCCTAAATAAACAGAAGGGTGCAGCATTGTATGTTGTTTATTTATAAGGCTCTACTGCAAAATCAGCGCAGTTACCTCTGCTCTCTGGTAACATTTAAATACAACGTCAGGTCAGAGACATTTTAACATGAGCTGCACTGAACCTGGACTAAGTGGGGTCACATACTATGCTGCATACAGATGGACTCTCGCATTAAATTCTCTTATCGCAGTCACACTTGTAAATGCTTCTTTTAATAATGAAAGTGCTTTTCTTAATTATGATAATGTGTGCGTGAATTATTTGTGCGTCTGTCTACTCTTAAACTGCATATGTTTATTTGTACACTCTTGGAAAAGAGATCCAAATCACAATAAGACTTTTAAATAAAGGATTGAATCAAATAAACACTTCAGCTAAAAAATGTGATATATGTTCTTAAAATTGCTCATTTATTCGTGGTTAATAATTTCAGCTTGTGTGTTAGCTTTCATATTCAATAAAGAGAAGACTACACTAAGAGAATTAATCATTTCTCTAGAGATATACCTTATTGAAATGTATTATTTGATAAATCCTGTTGATTAATATTATCATGTTGATATTAAAACAAATTTTTGAGTTAGACTTTTGTGTGATTCCTCTGCTGCTACTGGATTGTACTGTGCAGGATTGTGTTGCCTGTAAACCTAAATTATATCCTGTGTAAGAGTGAAGTGGCTGGGATATATATAAATATATATGGTGTATTTCAATTTACCCAACACCTGAGAGGAGTCGGCAAAACAGAAAGGTGCTGTAGCCCTGGACGAAGGAGGAGAAGAAGGAGAAGATACTATTGATTGAGAGAGAGATGAGAAGAGACTGGCGGCGGCCTATCCGGTCAGCCAGAGCCCCCCAGAGGAAAGCCCCAACCATCATCCCAAAATATACAATCAGACCTGTGGAGAGAGCAAAGGAAATGAAACTATTACAGCAACAGATGCATGTCTATCCTGTCTTCTTTATGCCTGCCTCGAGACTCCTGCTGTTAGATTATGGGCTTTTCAGGTTTATGTTTACTCTGCTGACAGCTGGCCTCTCAAGACAAACAGAAGTTCAAACACAAACAGTAATAAAACTCTATTTGTCATAAAAGATAAGGTATTAATCTTTAATTTTCTTGCTGTCAACAAATCCCATGAAAACATAAAACCATTAAGTCCGTCTCTAAAGCCCAAGCCCATTTTCTACCAAGAACACAAGGTTATTCAAACAGGAGTGAATTGTGTGTTTGTTGAGGTATTGTCAGCTGTGAATTAATACACATTTGGTGCTCTACTTAGTATTTCTGGCAGCAGGACAGTGTATAATAGCCTTTTTTCCACCAAAATTAGTGCATGTGCACAGGAAAAGCTGTTAAAAATCAGGGGAAAAACTCCTTTTCCACTGCCAGTAGACCAGAGCTGTGTACGTGACTCTGCAGTAAAAACTGCCTCTGTGTTTTTGTGTTTGTTTTTTCTGGTGTGTCACATTTGACGCCATGGACAGGCTGGGAAACAGGTTAGGCAAGTCAGTTCTGTATTAACAATGCATTCTTGGACTCTTGCACCACCTAGGGTGTGACATTGTACAGCAACCGCGGTTATTATCCACAGTTGTAACCTGTTTTTGTCATTGTGTGTATTGTATTTATTGGATCACACCTTATTTGAACCTTACTGTTTTCTAGTTTCTATGTATTGTATTTTATATTTGCTATACATTTGCTTTTCCTGCTGTTATTTTAGTTGTTTAGTCTTAGCAATCTCCCTCTGGATAAATAAAGTTCTATCTTATTTTATCTTAAACGGTAGAAAGCAGCATGGAGGCCTGTGTTACTTCTTTTTTATATATATCTTACTTAATCATTCTCTCTCTTAAACTCTGTGTCAACTAGATTCTGAACGATGTACTATCAGAGTTGGAGCCAATAAATACCTGTGACTACTGCAGAGTCATTTGTCCCGCGAGTGAATGTCAAGCCTGGTGTGAGTGGGTGTTGGTGGGTTTTTTGTCCCGTGAGAAAGGGGCTAAAGATTGACTCAGAATGCCCACGTTCATTGTAATGAGAGAACACGTCGCCCTGCAGTGTGACAATGTGGCTCATTGATGTATTTTTAATGAGTTTTTGGACGCTGAAGCTCTATAGCTCAGGGGAATTAGATATGTCAGGCTTTGGATTCACAACAAATACTTGTTAGTTGGATCAATTCATTGAGGGGGGGTGGGGGGGGTTTAAGAAAAATATGGACAGCCTTATCCTTTAAGCAACATAAATATGTGCCAAAGCCAAACCAGAAGCTGTACAGCAGAAGGAGACACAGTCACCTGTAAAGGAGTCTTACCTAGCATGCTCTTGTTAGGTTCAGACAGGCACATATCCTTCTCAGCGCTGGGCAGAACAAACCCGACCACGAAGATCTCCACACCATCTGCCATGAGAGCCAGGCCCAGCACAAAGTACAGGGTCCACTGGAACTTCCCGTGACCACATTCTTGTAAAATGGTCTCATACTGTTGAGCCAGCTCCTCTTGGTCCTTCCTCCTCTCTCCCTCGGACACCCCGACATCTCTGAACTGCTGATCGCCGGCCCTCACCGAACCTGGGCCTCCAGCCAGGCTGCCTTTGCCTGATTCAGCCCTGGGAATTCCTTGGTACTCGCCCTCATAGATCTCATCATCCTCATCGTGACCCTCTGTGGAGTCACTGTGGCCACCCTCGTCGTCGTTGGCCGCCTGGCTGTCTCCACGGTAATAGCCTCCGTCCTGACTTCCCTGCATGGGGTAGTCATCGTCATCGTCCTCTTCAAAACGGCTGTAGGAGCGCTTGCTGTACTCATCACTCATCCGGTCCACTGAACGGCCGACCTTCTTAGATGCTTGGCGCTTGACTTCTTTGGCAATGTCTTTGGCGCCTTTTATGAAGGCAGTCCGGTTTTGGTAACCGTCCTCCATTTTTAAGAGGTTCAGAAGATGCAAAAGTGGTCAAAGACGTAGAGGAGAGGCCACCTGAAGCTTCAGTTTGTTCAGGATACACCTCAAGAGTTGTCAGTCACTTGACTGACAGCAGGCTCTCCTTCTGTCTGAGGAGAAAGCGGAAGTATAAATCAACCAATCTTGTTTATATTTAGTAATCATGCAGGCAGTTAGTGGTAGGTTTCATGGAAAGGCTCTTGAGAATACAGAAATGTTATTAACTGGGCCACAAACAAAAAGAGAGTTAGTTCTAGTCTAACATGGCATTTTGGGTTAAATCAGAAGTCACAAGCCTGAGCATTATCCTTCACTCAGACTTCAATTTTATGTCCGACATACAGAAGGTGACCAAACAGCTTTCTTTTGTTTAAGAAATATTGCAAAGGTACAGCCGTTCCAATGCCAACGAGATGCCAAAAAACTTGACTAGAACGAAAAAGAGAGCATGTCACCCCGGTTTTAGCATACCTGCACTGGCTCATGGTGTCTTTTGGACTGATTTTGAAGTTCATTTACTTGTTTACAAGGCTCTTAATGATGTGGAAACGGCCTACATCATTAAATCTTTCTCTTATCATCCTCACGGACTCTTAGATCCTCTGCTGCTATTTTTTTTTTTAATTCAAACTATCACACAAATAAGAATATCTGCAGCCTAGGCTTTTTTAACTGTGTATTAGAACGACAGAATTCTCTAACACAATTAACCACAGTTGAAAACGTATTTACTCAGCACCGCCATTAACTTACTGTCACTTCTATTTGTTTTATTTTTATGTTTTACATGTTTTTTTATATTTGCCTTCCTTGTTTTTATCTCTCACACATTCTATTATTTCTAGCATACCCATTCTTGCTATCTGCTGCGTCTTCTGTTTGTTATTTATGTCATTGTTTGGTTTTATTGCGCAGTATTTGCCCATGATTTAATTTGCCTGTTTTTATTCTCATGTTTCTTCTTCTTATTGTGAAGCACTTTAAGCGACACCCCCGTATGAAAGGTGCCATACAAATCAATTTAATGATCATTATTAGTATCAAAAGCATCCTTGCACATTTCTGGTGACCCATTACAATGGATTCCCGAATGGGCCAACTGGACACAGGGGCCCAAGGCGTCAGGCGGCCCTTGTGTCTGTTACTCCTCTGTCTGCATTAAAATGACAGCCTGCAGTAATGTAGTGTATGGGGAGCTGCAGATAGTCTCTCTGTATCACAGTTAAAAAGACAATATTGGCTCCTGGTGAAGGCGGATAGAAGGTAAAGAAACCAAAGTCAATTGAACAATGTACAACTATTTACTCAGCCTGCATAATACGGCTGTATATGCGACACCGTGGGTCTTGCAAAAGTTTAACAACATCAGCTGTTTGAAACTGGCTGTTGAACAGAGGCGGAAAGATCAGGTCATGCAAACGTGGCAAAGTGACACTAGAAGTATGACATTGTGTGATATATATGCAGAATATCAGGTTTGTCTCGACTGCTAAGACACGCTTAATGAAACTGGGATTCATTCGATCGTCCATCACTTTCATAGCACAGCAGAAGTCTACCCCTTCCCCAAATGTGTTACCAAACCATATTTCACACCCTTTTATGAAAAAAGTTAAGACAGAGCATGCAGAAGGACCTAAAACTCTATTGGACTATCTGTGTTGAACAAAAGGAAAACATCTATTCACACACACAGCTGAAACTGTTGCATAATTATGAATCATTAATGCGCCTGTGTGAAACTTCTTTGCACAACTCCTCACCCAGCAATCAGTTCTCATCCGTCTATAAAAGATGCCAGCTCTGTGTTGGTATTTGCAAGTATGGATCAAAGGGGCCAAAGGCACAAGGAAATAAACAAGGAATGGAATAAAATGAATTATAAAATGTTTTATATTAACAGGGCAGCTCAAAGAAGTGTGCAGCAGGGGTTGTTATCTCTAGTAAAATCATCTTTGGAGAACAAAATTCATGCTGTGATATTCTTACTTCGGCACAAACTATAATGATGTAAAGTTTCAAAAAATGGCAGAGGCATAAAGCACACTGAAGGTTAAACTAGTTCTTATTGATAGCTATATTTTGTTGTTTGTTGTCCATTGTGTAATGATCGATTGGAAGGACATTTTAATTTGACCACGAGTTGTGTTGATTGATGGAAATATTTGCTTTTGTTTTGTGAGTGTTAAAGCATTTTGCATACAAAATCTGTCATTTTGGCCGGCAACCGTTTAGGCTTCTGTGAGAACCGCTTCGAAAATGTAACTTCTGAATGGATAAATGTGTTCAAGCAAATGACAAAAAAAGAGCTCCAACTGGAAAACTATCTGTTGCATGAAAACCAAGAGTACAGATAGACTACTAGTCATTTCAGAGTGGACAACAGCAGACTTCAAAAAGTCATCGGGAGATATAAAGAGAGGGATAGAAACCAGAGGATCTGCACATTCTATAATGACAGTCGCTCTGGAGATGAATATCATATGCTTTTAAAATGTTGGAATATGCCAAAGTATTGCTCAAACCTTCCATCTATGTTTAAATTAGTGTAGTTATTACAATAAGACAAGCCAAACGTTATTTGTTAAGTGGTTGTCTTTCTTTAAGTAACATTTGCTGTTTTCTAGCCATGCCGTGTGCCATCGCTTTGTTTCTATTGTACATTGTGCTTGTGCTCCGTGTCATCATGTTGTTGAGTCATATTAAGAAATTGCAATGAAAAATGGAGTGACTGCTGAAATGAAGTGACATCTCTCAGAAGGTTGATCAAATTACCACAAAGATGAAGTGACTACAGAGAGATGCAAAATGACCACAGAGAGTACAAAAACATATAATCAGAAGAAAAAGACACAAAACAGCCAGAAAATGTCTACAGAGAGAGGTTAAATGACTTCAAAGAGCCACAAAATGACTGCAGGAGCCAAAATGACTACAAAGAGTTGCTAAGCCAAAGCCAAACTAAAGCCAAATTTTGAGCGTCAAACACTGCATTCTGGTGAATTTTTCTGCACTGATTAGTGCCTTTTTCTGCATCAGTTTATGGCGTAAGTGTCTTTAATTTTGTTCAATTAAAAGTTCTTTGCTACTTCCATGTTTGGGGCTGCAAAGAGACGTATAACAACTAAAGAAAAAACAACCACAAAGCGACTACAAAGAGATGTAAAATGACTACAAGGAGACACAAAACAACCACAGTGACACAAAATGGCCACAAAGAGACAGAGACACAAACTACAGAGATGCTAAATGACTACAGAGAGTGGCTATGCGGCAGCAAAGAGACAAATAATGACTACAAAGACACACAAAACAACCCCAAAATGACTACAAAGAGTTGCTAAGCCAAAGCCAAACTAAAGCCAAATTTTGAGCGTCAAACACTGCATTCTGGTGAATTTTTCTGCACTGATTAGTGCCTTTTTCTGCATCAGTTTATGGCGTAAGTGTCTTTAATTTTGTTCAATTAAAAGTTCTTTGCTACTTCCATGTTTTTATTGAGGGAGACGAATGCATCTGCGTCCTCCACGCCCTCGAAATCTACACCTACTACTATAAAGAGACACAAAATGACAACAGGGACACCAAATTTCTAGAAAGAGACACAGTATGACTACAGAGATGCAAAATTACCACAAAGAGTTGCTAAGTCACTCCAAAGAGACATATAATGACTACAAAGAGACCCAAAACAATCACAAACTGACTACAAAGAGTAGCTACACATGAAACAGGGGGTTTGGGGATCCTCTGCCGGAGAGCATCAGATACTTTATGTGTTGCATTCTGGTGACTTTTTATGTGCTTTTTTCTGCATCAATGTATGGTGTCAATGTCTTTAATTCTGTCAAAATGTCCTCTGGTACTTTTGAGTTTTTATTGGGGGGGACAAATGCAAGTGTTCCCTCCATCCTGAAATCTACAGCTATTTGCTAAGGGAAGAGATGTTTAATGATGACAAAGTGACACAAAATGACTGCAAAAAGATGTAAAACAACAAAAAAAGACACAAAAAAAATGTTCTTTGTTCTTTTGTTCCATCTGGGTGTCTTGTACTTGTGTAGGTGGAGGGTTCATGCCTATTACTTTTCCAGACACATCTTCCTTTGAACTGATTTTTTTCCTATCAGCTAACCAAACCACCTAACCAGCCTATAATGATGTGTTTCCAGACTACACCTGTTGCATTTCCATATCAGCCCAGCATGTGCTCACTGCTGAGTCACAGATGGGCCTGAGCAGTAATTACAGGCCGAGACATCAAGCCTTGAATGGTGAGAGGGATTTTTATTGGATGTGTCTTGGTGCGGAAATGCCCTGAAAGCCTCAGATCAAGTTATTGGTGAAGAGCTGCAGTGCGTGACCATGAGCCGAATGTAATGTCACTGATATGATGCTCCAAAGGATAGGTCTTCACTGTTTATGTGGTCATCCCATGTATTAACACCTCTTTATTATTTCTTTAAAGGACAGCTCACAAAATCCTGTGCTAAAATGTGAGTTTTTCAGTAGCTTAGGTGATCAAATAATACATTAACAATATTGAACAAAACCAATAAAGTGTACTTCAGTGATTAATCAATTAGAGCTGTAAACGTTCCCTAATTTAAAGTGTACTGCTGATTCGGTGGGGCTGCGTGCTAAAACAAATGAGGCTTGAAATGAGGAAAAAGAAGACAGAAAACTGATGTCAGTTTTAACTGTGCGCTGCAGCATCACATCTCCTTTTGAGGAAAAGAACATTTATAAGGCACTGACTCGTGTAGTTCACTGACGATACCCGCATCCATATGCTGTTGCATTAAGACGCTGTGTGCCACGGGTCGCCGTGCAGTGAAGCAACATGTCACTTTGATTTTGTGGTGCAGTGAAACAGAGAGACATCACTGCGACACTCACTTTGACCCCTGTTTCCAAAACGAGGTCTGACGGGTAATAATGGGCTGACAGAGCTTTCGGTGTCTGCCAGGTATACAGCGGGCCAGAGACAGGGTTTTATTAACACTGAGGTTAGCCACAAAAAAAATTCTGATATTAAATTTGTTTCTTGTCTTCTTCGTACACTAAAGTTTTGCGTATATTCTCACTACACAATAGTCTAAATGCTACTTCAGAGCCTCCTTCAGTTATAAAAATATTAAATCATTTCATTTTTACTTAAGTTAATATTTTTGGACACTTAAATACGAATATGCTCTCTAGGTTGTTAAAGGGACAGTTCACCCCCAAATCAAAAATACATATTTTTCCTCTTACCTGTAGTGCTGTTTATCAGCCCAGATTGTTTTGGTGTAAGTCGACAAATGTTGGAGATATCGGTCGTAGAGATGTCTGCCTTCTCTCAAATATAATGGAACTAGATGGCACTCTGCTTGTGGCGCTCAAATCGCCAAAACATACATTTGAACATGTAGCAATGTCAGCAGCAATGTCTCTTATTGTGAGCAGTTTCATGAAGGAACTATTTTCTTTCCACCTGACTACACCCACCAACCGTATCACTGCGCAGAAGGATGCGTGCATCTACTCACTGACAATGCTTGTGCTCGTGATAGCGTGAGATGTTAACATTAACGGCATCCTCCTCAGCTAAGCTGTAACGTTAGCTAGCTCAGTGGTAGCTACTAGGTGAGCTAGCAGTAGATGGACACTTCTTTCCAGGCGGTGATACTGTTGGCGGGTGTGGTTTGGTAAAAAAAAAAAAAAAAAGTTCCTACATGAATCTGCTCACAACAAGGTCTGTGGATTATCTTGAGTAACCAGGTCATGATTTCTACAAAGAGACATTGCTGTTGAGTTTTTGCACCACAAGCTGAGTGCCATCTAGTTCCATTATATTTAAGAGAAGGCAGACATCTCTACGGCCGATATCTCCAACACTCGTCAACTCACACCAAAACAATCTAGATTGATAAATAGCACTACAGGTAAGAGGACAAATATGAGTTTTTGATTTGTAGGTGAACTGTCCCTTTAAAATCCCCAAATGAACATAAACAAACACCGAGAGCTGCAGACTAAATGTTTGTTCAATGGTGAATTTGTTCAGTCACACCAGGACGCCAAATTCTTGTTTGTTTAGTGACGCAGTTAAGACCAAAATCTCTGCTGGCTGCTTTAAATGAGCTCATTATATGTTTCAAAAAGACTTTCACCAGGTTGTCGTATATAACTATTTTATATTCATACGTATTCATCTTTACGCCAGCATCTGCATCCTCATCAAAGCACAACACACACGTTTGATTTGTTTAAATGTTAAATGTAATTCAAACATCGTCTCCGACCACAGATCCCTCACTGTGGGCATGATGAGCAGATTTACTGGCACAGATCAGAGGAGCCCCACAGGGCTGGTCGGCCAGGCTAAACTGTAGGATGCTAACCTAATAATATCTTGGACTCGAGCACTTACAGGCCTGGCATCACTGTCTCCCTTACAAACACGAGCACTTAAATAGAACCAAGCCAGCCTGAGCAAAACAGCACAGGTGTTACTATTAACATTAATAATAAATATTACCACCTGTGTTTTTACAGCTATTACAAGGCCTATTAGCAGCGATAACTAAACGGTGTGTAGGGCAGTGTAAAGCTCCATGTTTATATTCACTTCAGAGGACTAAAATGATCAGTCTCTGTAAACCCCAAGATAGATAAATAGATTACTAATGAATTTATGCAACAGGTATGCTACAGATGCACTCCTTTAATTCTCATTTTTAAGTCTCTTTCACTGAAACAAAAGCTTTAAACCCACTTTTCTCATTTAGTCCCTGTTGCCAAGTTGACAGCATCTCTACAGCTCCGTGCGGCCTGCAACACACAGCCCTGTCAGTAATAAAGAGCAGGCAGGTCTGAGGATGAGGAGGATGGATGTTATTGCTCCCTCTGGTTTGACCAACCCTTTTTTTTGTCTTTATTTTCTTCCCCTTCCAAAAAATCAATAAGCATCAGATTTCCACTTCCCTGGCGAGGTTAAGCAGGACAGATAGCCATCACATCACATACATGCAAGCTTATTAAAGCAGTGGGATTTCTATCAGAATATTAAAATGAATAATGTGGACACCTGAGGATGAAATCTTATTAAGGACAGCCATGGGAATCACAAAAATCGCTCTCCTAGAATCTCTCACAGGCCTGTTTATGAAGAGGTTGTAGGCGCATATTTGTGGTTTTTGAAGTGTCCCATGGGTTATTTTCCAGTGGCAGCAATTGCCTCAATGGGGCAGCAATAATTCAAATTAAAGAGTGTGGTTAAATATGTGCAAATTTAAGCCTCCAGTTCATCCTAACCACTGGTGTTAAGAGAGGGGAAAAAAGGCCTTCACACTATCAGGCCAATTTACACAGCACACAAATACGGTTAAAATATAAATCTGTCACAAATAGCAGCCGATTGTCTGCTCGCCTGCATCCTGACATCTGCGCTCATTCTTAGAAATCACACTGTCAGCAGCTTGTCACGACGTGGTTTGGATTAAAGGCCCGCGATTCACAAAATCGATCTTAATTGCTGTGTGAAGCAAACGGTTGCAGAACACGCCCATCGCCTTTTCCTCATGATGTCTTCATGCAAAAAACATATATGTCCAAGACGCTGTGAGACGACATCAGAAGCAAACAGTTAAATATTGTGATATTGACGCTCACCGTTATCCCTGCGATGTGATTCCCTCTTCAGCCCGGAGATGGTGATGAGGAGGATGAGGAGGAGGATGAGGATGATGATGCGTACGAGGCTGTTGCTGTGAACCGAGTGATGATGATGCTGCGCGGTTTGGAGGAGAGAAGCCCACGCCATCCACACACACTCAGTGATGTGCAGGGGTCCCCTCCCCCCATGCAAACCCTCACGAGCGCACGAGCACATTAACGCCTTCATATCTGGAGGGGTTTGGCGCATATCTGCGCACATTTCCTACACTTTCCTCCAGCTTTGCACACGCTATCCCTCGCCACATTCACGTTTTTCTCTTCTCTACCTACGTATGTGCATACAATGTTTGGGAAACACTTAATATTAAATACACACTATACATGTATGCCATCGCACGCATGCGCGCACAAACACCTCATTTTCGTCCATTTGCCTCTTTACAAATAGATTGTCTGTACACATGAATATCAAATTGTGCGCACAGACAACACACACGTGCAAGCGCACCTGACTCCTGTTGCCATGCCAACCACTTGCCACGTTCTTGATCCCTTCTTCTGCATGAAGACCTGCTATGTAGAAACGTGAGCTTTCCTCAGACAGTGTGATGTCATCATCTGTAGCCTACCATTCAGATAAAATTTCTCCATGGACGTAAGATTGTAATTTTAGTTGTTTGTATTTGTCACTTTGATAAGGCGGTGAAGTAGGGCAAAATGCAGAAGGCAGGGCCGGCTCTAGACTTTTGGGGGCCCTAAACGGATTTGGTTCATGGGCCCCCTCTTATTAGGTTGTGTTGTTGTAATGTCATGAACTTGTGTGTTGTAAATATTAATTTAAAGTCTAGATGAAACAGGATTTTATAGCTTTAGTAACATGACATAATTCTGACGCTGGGATGAACTTTATTTGATCATTAAAAATGGACGTGAGGCCACGATGGTGTAACGACAACAGGTCAGCTGTATCTGTCAGACAGAGAGAGACTAAGTCCATTGTATTCTCCATTTAACGTTGGTTGCTGAGGCAGTTCACTGTAAAGTTCTTTGCGTGTTCTGGAGCAAGTGTTCATTAAAAATTGTTTTTAGGGGGTCCCCTGAGACTAAGGGGCCCTAAGCAACTTATAATAGGCCTATTGCTTACTGCATAGGGCCAGCTCTGCTCACCATAGGGACTGCAAGAAAAATGAAACATTTTCCTGTTGTATTCATGCAACACTGTCACTTTCTGGTGTTATGCTGCCTTATGTACGCACAATATCCGATTTTCTACTATTCTTACACATGTGCACATATTTTTCTAATATCTAATACTGTTTACAGATCAATTTACCTTAATGATTCCGCTATACAAATATTAATAAAGCAGGTCAATTAATTTGAAAACATAAAATACCCACACTGCAAATCACAAATGCATTTATTACTTTATTTTGTATATAAGAAGGCTGATTTAATGCTTTTGCAACAAACAAATTAATATTTTAAAGAAAACTGTCAGCAAGAAGAAACCAATAAGAATATGTATGAAAGCTTACATGCACTTGATTATGATATCATTTAAAATATAATGGAAGCAATACAATGTAACAGAATGACAGGATGAAAAACCTTACACATACTAGAAATAGATTGCCATTATATATGTGGTCTGGAACAACTGATGCTTTGCTAATAGAGGAGGCACAAATCATTTAAGCTCTAGACAGCCTTAAACAAACTTTGAATTTTTTTTTTTACTTTTAAAGGCTGACTTTAAGAAAACGAGGTCCCTCCACAGATGCCATCCCTACAGCCCTGACAATTATGCGGGTCATGGGAACTTCTGACATCCAGGCTGACGGCTTGTCTGTTCCGTCTGACCAGGTCTTCACCGTAGCACTCTATTCTTATATTCTCCAGCAGATTCTCCAGGAGGATGTCGATGTTGTCGGAGCTGATGCTGGGCTCCTCCATTTTAGCTCCAAGGCAATGATTGCAGCTCTGACGGTAGAGCCTCACCTTGACAACGCCCTGGTTGTTTGTCAGGCGCATGTTGAAGACTACCCTCACCCAATTGGAAGGCCAGCGTCTGTTACACCATCTGCATTCGAACCTTGAAAATGGAAGAGGATCCAAGTTAAAGAAAGTCTGAACTCTTTCTCTGCCCTTCAAGTGTTGCCCGTCTAAAACCAGTGGTCCTACCAATGAGATTATTTCTCCTCTCTGTAACTTTACAATAACCACTGTCACACTGGACATGGCATTAAGTTACATTCATTTCCCTAACCTGGCCCTTATCCTTCATTTACATTGTGGGGACCAGTTTTTGTCTCCAAATCAGATTTTTATAAGCAGTACAAGTAACCATACATACACACAACTATTAATAAACCAAATGCATTCATGAAACTACAATATAACGCAGCATATACTATACAAAACAGTGATTAATCATAGTCCAGCACACTGACCATGCACTTGTGTTGTCTGAGTACTGCTTCCAGCCAGCTTTCGGGTGGTCAAGATCAATGCTTTCATCAACCTCCAGACGCCAGGAGTCTCCTCGAGCCGTAAAAATGGATGCTTCAGTGAGGAATTTCTCTTCCATCTCAGTTTGTGGCATCCTGTCGGTGTCAGTGGTGCTGTTCGCTAGGAAGAGTCAAAGCACTGACAACTGATTTGTACAGTTTACAAACAGCTGACTGTGCCAATTAAGATGATAAAATTTGAAGCTGGTTTAAATAACTTTCGGGATTGGGCAGGTACTATAAATGGAATGGAGAATGGCAGGTTTGTTTTGTTTGGGCAGGTGTTATTTCTGTATCACCTACTCATCAACAGAATTGAAGAGAAAGGAAAGCCCATGAATGGAAAATGTAAGTGATTTGTGTGTTTGGATAGGTACGGTGCCTTATTATGAACATTGACTGGAAGTCAACAAAAAGTTAACTTCTCCTTTATCACACACATACGAAATGTGATTAGTGTGGATTAACTGAAACAGACTGCTGCCTTTTTGTGTTTCACAAAAACATCGAAGTGCTCAGGAGGTCTTTTGTGAAAATATCAGTCACTTAGATACTTAAAAAGCCACAGCTTAGAGGGATTTAGATAAGAAATAACCTGAAACACTCTCTTCTAGCCTGTGTGGGCAAACAGCGGGTTATACCATAGACTGTATAAGATTATGGACATAGCTATCTATCGTCACCCATTGTTTTGCGGAATCTCATGTTGAAGCCTCGAGTTTGGCGCTTCAGCTGTCGCCATTTTGTTTTTTGTGACCATATTTGGACAAGAGGGTGGAGCTGTGGAGGAGCGATGGGTGGCTCTCACTCTTAAGCGGGATTTATAGTCGTGCTGCAGACCCTACGCCGTAACCTATGCCGTTGTGAGCACTTATACTTGTGTGGTGGTGTGTCTGTCACTCTGCAGTTACAAACACTAGTCAGCGGTGGGGTTTCTGTGAAGTGCTGTAAAGTTTAGTTGATTCAAAATACACATTAAACACACATTAAACATGGCTTAAGAGACAATTTCAAACACAAGTACACAAATTCGCTTCACTATAACTTGCAGCATTCACAGACAAACACTTGTTTTTATCTGGACACATTTTCCCCACAAATACAACATACTAACGTTATTAGCACAAGTCTATGGCGTTTTACATTGTATAAATTAAGCCTAGCAGCTAGCGATCTTTTCCTCCTCTCATAAAACCAGGGACAACAGCAACATTTAACAAAGGCAACAGCACATAATTTGGCTCCATTACAACTCACAAGGTTCACCGAATACAGCTATCTTACACTAAAGACATTTTCAAAACAAATATAACATGCTAACGTTACTAGCATGAGCCTATGGCATTTTACATTTTATAAATTAGCCTAGTGATGAGTGGAGATTTCCTCTGCTCATATGAAACCAGGATAAATCACACACAAGGCTTAAAATGTTATTTTTGTGGAGGCTTTATTGTCTTCATAATTTATTGTTTGTTATCTGTGAAATTAAAGTAAATAAAAGCTTCATTTCCACTGAGGGAAATGGTTTCAGCTTACAAAAATAGACGGGAGGTCTGTGTCGCTAGGACATGTAGTTATATTTCTGGGGAGGTGCACGTCAGGCTACGGTGTAGGCTCCATATCGACACAGAGCCTCCACCGTAGCTACAATGTCGCTTCAACGCAGAACTATAATTAGACTGTGGTGATGGCTCACAGACAACCTGTCAATCAAGCTGCCCATCCTTTACATACACATATCTTTAAGCCTTAATAAAATGTGAACAGGCGAGTTATATAAAAACTCCTCCCCCAACATAGTTGTCATTAATGCTGAAATGAGTGATAGAGACCAAAACTGTTTTTGTACCAGGATATGGACATGGTTATTTCAACTGTAAAGTTTGGCATTTTAACGTGGGGGTCTATGGGGGTTGAGTCACTGCTGGAGCCAGCCTCAAGTGCCATTTAAGAAACTGCAGATTTTGGCACTTGGGTGTTGGCTGAATCTTTCAGCCCTGGAGGTTGCCTCTTGGGTTACACCCAGTCTTAACTGACAGTGACTGGCCTTGATGGATCATGTGAGGGAAGAAATCAGAATACTCCTGACTTTTAGAAAAATCTTTGTACCACTTAATGAATTTTGTAGGAGCACTGTCATTTGTACTGGAGACACCAAACCACTGAGGGTCCTAATAAGTTAAGGAAGAAATGTTAAGATTAGTATGCAAAGTTTAGAAATATTCTAAGTAGCAAGTCCTGCAGTCATGTTGATTAAGTAGGTAATTATTTCCATGCTATAATAACACGTAAGCAACATTATAATGACTCAGTCGAGGTTGAGTAACTAAATGCTTTATGTACCATTGAGTACTGAAAATGTAAGGACAACTACTGTCCATATGGCTATTAAATTTGACATAAATATTGTCTTCAAAGCCTGATCACTACTGACTGTTCAGTATTACCACCATTAGACCAGGACTTCCACCTTTTTTCCAGCAGACATTTTGACTTGCGGTACAACACGGCAGTAAACGACAGGTGGAGCCAAACAACCTTACTGATGGCTCCATTTGGCAGTGAGTCAGCAGCCAGGAAACAGTGCTATTAACAGTGTTAATCACACCTTTACTGTTCCCTCTTTGAGTGAGGCTTATTTCCATGAAATTAACCAAGCACATGCAAAATAATTACAAGTAATATTTGTAGGTGAGAAAGAATAAACGAACAATTCCAAAAGGTGTACTAAAAATTTTAATCGCCAAAGGTCTTCATCTGTACAATGACCAAAAAAACACAAACAGGTGGTTAAATTATTCTCACTATTACAAACTTGAGTAGATCTTAAGATGTTTAAAAAAAACAAAAAACAAAACAGCGAGAGCCCGTTCCTGCAGCCAGAGGCGGATTACGGCGGCATTGGTGCTCTTATGGGAACGCGGGGTGGGACACCAGGGGGCCGTGGAGGCATTGGAGGTCCTCTCTGGAAGCCAAAGGGGGGAGGACGAGGGGGGCCAGCACCGTAGCCAGGTGGAGGCATGGGAGGAGGAGGCCCTCTCATACCTGGAGGCACAGGGTGACCTGAGGAAGAGAAAGCAAGAGGGTTATAACATGATAAAATATTTACCTTTGACTATGTGCTCTCACCACAGCTAACCACATTCAACTGTGTTCATTTCTGTTGGGCAACAGTGTCAAGCTCTCTGCCATAAACAAGAGCTACAGTTATCTGTATTGCAGTTGTTCTTTCACAAACACTTCTGTGAGGCATTTTCCCCACAAATGACTGAGGCAGTGTTTTAAAGATAAAGACACATTTACTTGACAACACAGTTTCAAGGAGATACCACAGTGCTTACCCATGGGAGGGCCATAGGGTGCTCTGGGTGGCATGCCCATGGGTGGGGGTGGGGGCATGCCAGGGGGTGGCGGTGCCCGTTGTTGATTTGATCCTGGGGGAGCAGGAGGTGGAGGCACCATGCCAGGAGGACCAGGAGGAGGCATGGGCATCTGAGGCATACCTGTGTAAGAGAAACAATTAAGTCTACAGGCAAGCAAGAAGCTAGTGTTTCCTAGTTTTTGAAAACATCCATTAACATCTGTTACAGAATTGAAGGACACATCAATCTGTTACATATGTCAGTATATTTTTTGCCTAACTCCACACTTGCAGCCACCGTGGAAACACTTAAATCTTGAGCAAACTGTTACCTGGATGCATGCTGCCAGGAGGGAAGGGTGGTGGACCGGGTGGAGGTCCGCCGCCGGCCCCCTGTGGGCCTGGTGCCCCTGCACTTGGAGGCATGGCCATTGAAGGGGGCATTGACGGAGGCATCGATCCAGGCGGAGGAACAGGAGGGAAAACAGGAGGAGGCATGCCTGCACAGACACAAGTTGTATTTACAAGTGGTCATTCCGTATTCTCCAGGCGCACAAAGTCAGGCTGTCTGGCTGATGAATTCGTAAAATATTTTAGTCATCTTAGCCACTGTTATGAATTTAAAAATGTCATTAGTATCTCATAAAGTGGGCTCATTTGTCAGCCGTTATGTTCCCTTTTAGTTACAGACATCATCCCCCAAGATTAAATCAAATTGATCTCATTATTGCCTACTGAATAAACACGCATCACTCAAAAGAGCCCACTTCCATTTCCTAAGAGGTTTACTTCATCTCACTGCAAGTAATAAAACCTGTTATCTGCTTTCATGGACACTCACCACAATCAACCACTTAATCTATAACCATTAATCAAAGGGCAGCTGCTGTATAAAATGGCAGGGTAATACAAGAGACACAAATATACACTACTCTGAGAAACAAAAACTCAATTTAAAAAGAAGACTGTAGATGTATAACCATACCACCAACTCAGGTGTTTGCACCTGACAGGACGAGTTTGCTGCAGAAAACAGTTTGCTTTTTATTTGCAGACTAGTCACATTCGGGAAATGTAACAGTTAAAGGTACAAAAAAGCCAACAGAGTCAGTAGTCCAATCGCCATTTTGCTTTTGACTCAAACAACACATGTATACACTACACTGCATTATGTTGTATGTGAGCATAAGACCTGAAATCATCATTTATTAATTAGTAATTGGATCTTTCCTCATCCGCTGATGAATTTAGTGGATGGAAAATGTTCTGTATTACATGCAACAACAATAAAATACTGTATAATGGTTGTATAAAGTAATGGTTAAATAAGATACAACTGAAAAGAGTGGCGCCACAGCACATCTTATACATATGTACCCACGGTGTTTTTATCATACCTGGTATGGGCATTGCAGTTCCCATTGCAGTCAGAACTGGCGTTGGGGCACTCGGCGGTGGCGGAGCATCTGCAAACAGCTGATGCGGCCTGTCTGCCTGGGAGAGAGGGTTTTGTGCAGCCAGGAGTCGCTCTGCAGCCGAGCCATGTCGCTCTCCTTTGGAATCCTTCTTGAAGGCGTAGGACACTGTGATGGGCCTATTACAGAGGTACTGGCCGTTCATGGCCTCAATGGCGGCGTCTGATGCGTCAAAGCTTGCAAAATTAATGAAAGCATAACCCTTGGAGTTGCCGGTGTCTGGGTCTCGCATGATCTTTGGCGTCTGGAGGATCACGCCAAAGGCACTGAATGTGTCATAGAGCAGTTTCTCATCAATCTCGGGGTCCAGATTACCGATGAAGATGTTAGCTCCCACATCCAGGTTTTTATTGTGTGCAGAGGCCTTATTGACTCTGATGGGTTTACCATAGAGCTTTATCATATTCATAATTTTGATGGCATAGTCAGCATCCTCTTCACTAAGAAACTCAACAAAGCCATAACCTGAGAGAAAGGGAGAGCAAAAAGTTATTCCATGATTGTTGTTTATCTGCAAAAAAGATTTTTAAGTTTGCAAAAAGCTTTAAGAGTGTATTTCCTCCTTTCTTGATTGACATGTTGCAGCCTTGATAATCACAGCTATGGAGAATATCAGCCGATACTCACCTTGATGTTGGCCAGTCACTCTGTCTTTGGGCATGTGTGTGTTGACCACAGGACCAGCCTGCAGGAAGAGCTCCCATAGCAACGGCTCTGACACTTTCTCATCCAAGCCGCCAACATACACAGTAGCGTCTGAAAAATAAATACAAATTTAAAATAAACTACATATGGAAACTATCTCTAGATTTCCAGATTAGACAAAACTTTACACAGAAGATTTTTCTTATTGAATTTATTTGATTCATTTAAACTTAAATTTAACCAGGAAGTCCTTTGAGATAAAATCTCTTATTTTCGAAGGGGACCTGGCCAAGATAGCACGCCATTACAAGGTTACAAAAATGAACAAATACAGCATGTCAAATATAGACAAGGGACAAGTAAAAACAGCATGTTAAAAACAGTCAGGGACTTTGTGAAGTCATTTCAAATCAAACAGACTGAATTCGAAGTCCCTGTGTGAATCTGTGACGGAGATTTGTCATGATCGTTTACATCTTACTGAGTAAAAACTGAAGTGATAGGATACTGAAAATAAGTTGGTTAGCTAGTTGCAGCCCTTGTAAACACACAGATGTGTGTGTGTGCGCGCACACACACACACACACAATTAGAAATGTTGGTTTTCTTTTTTTACTTAAAATGCATTTCCATTTGTTATTTCTACTCAACCGTATTATAAACATTTCTGAACTATACAACAATTTTGTCAAAATAATCCTCAGTTAAATTTCAGCTGCCGATTACAATTCCACATAAAGCATTTCATATATGTTACAAACTAAATTATTATTATTATTGTAAGAACTGTTGAATAAAAGCTTGCCGTTTTTCTGTAATCAAATATCCTTTTGAGATTACAGCTGGAGGACATGACATCAATTTAGTGGAATATATAGAGAATAACACATAATTAGTTGCAGTTATAAATCAATATAATGTAACTAAATTATGTGGCTTTTCTAATAGGGTTTTATCAGAGTCAAGTAATAAAGCATATTTAGGTTTTATTTAAAGTTCTAACTGTAATGAACACCAGTTAATTATCTAACCTAACTGTTTAGCTGGTAAAATCGTAATATTAATATAATTTCTACAGACCACATCCCTAGCTGTGTAAAGCACCCGATGCGATATCCGAATATCAAGTGACTTACACTGAGGGAAAAAAGTGTAATCACTTGTTAAGTCAACATGATTAGCTTGCTAGGCTAACTTTAGCTGTTAGCCGACAGTAACGTTACGCACCTCTTCTTCCAATATGCTCACAACGGCTACCTTGCTTCAGTTAATCAAAATGTTTTAAACGTAACACATAGCTTCCTTCACAGCAAGCACGTAAATTAGATTAAAAATCAATAAAACCTCATTGAATGTTTAAATTAGCGGTAATGCAAGCTAACAACACTTCCATGTGATCGACCGGTTGTTTATGACAAACTATTAGCTACGCCGGAAGCCAGCGGGGCTCATAAAAACAAGGTGAGCAGTTTGAAGTGTGGCCCACACGCAGATTTATAAACGACTGAAGGCAGAAGGCTGAAACAGTTTTTATGATAATGAACTTACCTTGGTTTCTTTCTGAAATTGGTCCCGCTGCCATGTTGAATGAACAACGCCAGGCAAGCGTCCTTAACCGAAGCCCCGCCTCTTCCTGTATATGTACCGGAAGCGGAAGTCATAAAATATTATTATTATCATTATTATTATTATTATTATTATTATTATTATTATTAAGAATTAAATTGTTATTCCCAAATTCTGTTTTTTTGTCCTCCATTTGAATACCAAACATTATGTTTTCATATGTTAAAATTGGAACATTTTGACAGGTAATCCAATCTTGAAAGGCGTCCCAAAAGGCTGGAAGTCATAATATAAATAAAATAAAATAAAATAAACGTATTCATATTTCCGTAACAGTAAGCTATATTATTTTCTACCAAATTTACCCTGTACAATAAATAACTACAAAACGCATTCCCTGCAGAAAACTCATGTGGATGCTGAAAGCTGAAAATAATTCAAAAGTATTGCTGAAAATGCATAAATATAAGACTGAAGTTTTGAAAATATGTCAGAGAGCCGAACTGCATTACCTACAGAAGCTAAAAGCTGGAATACATTTCAAGAAAAACTCAAAGCTAGATTGTAATACTGTCAAAGGTGGAAGTTGAATTTAACTGCAAAGCATGAACAAATAAATGCCTTGTATTAAGCTCGGGTAGGCAGTTTAATTTTGACATCACTGAGCAAATATCCCATAATAAACTTTAAGCATATTATAATTCAAGTGGAAGGAACACTGGACCTCAGCACCTCCGCTTGGCTCTGTTTTCAGGCTTTAGAAAATTTGGCCTGTGACAGGAGACTTTGGTCTAAAACGGGTCATTTTCAGAGAAAGCAGCTGTTAATCATGTCAGTCGCTGCTTGTGAACTACAGTCACTCTGTCAAATGAATCAAAATTCTGTTACTGCATTGCCTAGTCTCAAATATTTTCAGAAACATTTTTAAGTGTAGTTTTTACCACAGTTTTAAGTTTTGACCCAACCAAGAAATACCCACCAGCCAGAGCAAATGTTCTCATTTTACAGCCAAACCATTTCTAAAAACACTTCAGGCAAGAAATGGGCAATGCAGTGCACACAGTCATGATTCATATTTGATCAGCACTACCTGGTGGTGGGAGTGGGGGAGACTGGTCTTGCAGGATTACTACTTTTTTTTTTTTTTTAATTCAAATTTTAAAAAAGGAGTGAATAACTTTTGCTAGCACTATAGAAGTCTACATAAAAGAAAGATAACTTAAATAAAAGTTTCTTTGTTACTTTGAGCTGAAAACAAAAAAAAATGAACATATGTTTCAACTGCACAACAACGGCACTAATCATCATCCAAACATGTGGAAATAAGTTCACAAGTTCAAGCTAGCAGCATACTGTTTTCATTACATCAGATGCATTACATCATTCTATCTAACGATGTTTATCTGTAATGTCTCCATAAAAAAAAACAATTTAAAAGATCCAATTAATCGTAGAAAAAGAATGACTCATTCTGTTTTATGCTATTGATCTTTTTTTCTAGCCTTTACAGGTTAAAACGTGTTTTGGAGCACACCCCAAAACATGCATTGTGTACATTACATACAGTCTGTAAAATAAATTCTGAACTGTTTGTGAAAAGCTCCTTTTATATTTGTAGTAAATTAAACATACACCATTTAACATTACAAATGATTATCTACTTTGTCGACGCAAAGACACGCAGACGCGAACGCATTGGGACACATCGAGACGCATTGGCCACCATGATGTGTGCTTGAGTCTCAAAATGTGTTGTCCATTTTGTTGATACGTGACGCAGCAATGTGTGTAATACCATGCATTGCCAGCAGGGGTGATAATGCAAGCAACATACTTTAAATTAACCACTTTTTGTTATTCACAGAAGAAGCAGGTATGAAATATGGCGGGCAAGGAGGAAAAACTTCGCGAACTCGTACAGGCACACCCCCATTTATATGACAGTTCCAGTGCCCTGCACTCTAATAAAATAGCAGTGCTAGCTAGCTACAGCAGTACTAGCTAGCCGGAATGTACCAGTTACTCTGCTACCCCCTATTGCGCAAGCGATGTATTGCATTTCAAGTGCTGCCTGCTTCGCTTGCGTTCAATGTGTTGACTATGAAAGGAAGTGCGTTGCTTGCGTCGCTTGCTTGCGTTGTGTGTGTCGACTATGAAACTGCCATACAACTTACTTGGCCCTCGTTGTGTACTACAGTGAGCAGTGAAATGAATAACATAAACAATCAATAAACATTTGTATGAGCCATTTTATTACATCATAGAAATATACTAAAAGTATAAACACGGAATACAAAATGTTCATAGAAAATACATACAATAAGGGCCTTCAGAAACACTTTTATAAAACAATACTGTAAAGAATATGAAACATATCAAAACAAAACTTAATCAACACATCATGCATCAAAACCAAAGGATGAAAAGCCCAAGATTTTTTCTGTTTATAAAATGGATAGCAAAAAAAATATATTGTTTAAAAAAGCCTTCATTGATAATGATCACAAAGAAAGGTTAAAGGCAGTTGTAGGAGAGCTCTGAGATTAATGGCTTGTGGTCAAAAATCAAACACATAATAAGCATCTGAATTAGGGAGAAAATGCCAAAAAAATAAAAATAAATTCAAGATCTTCAGTCTCTGTAATCAGCCCATTTAAATACTCATTGGGTTTTTCTCCCTAATTACATTTCAGCTTTGTAAATCTTAGCAAACTGGATCATGAGACCAAAAAAAAAAATCACTGATGAATTCAGAAAACAAGGACGATGTGAGATTAGCAGGGTTCGAGGTGCAGAATTGTGAGGTCCAAGTGTTTCGCTCCATCAGTTCGAAGTTCAAATTTAATTTTTCAGTATTCACTGAAAAGAGCTGCGGGGTCTTTTCCAAGAAGAAAAAAAATATATTCCTCCTTGTGCTGCACACATATTTTGCAAGCTGAGTACCAAACAAAGAATATAAAATGAATATAAATGTATACCAAAGGTAGTAAGGTTTAATAAGTCCTTCATAAGCTAATGTCATGTAACATATTTAAGGAGTTGTGCAACATTTTGGGACATATGTTGATTCACCTTCTGGTGGAGAGTCAGATGAAAACACTGATACCAATTTCATGTATGTACTGTGAATATCAAAGGGACCGTTCACCCCAAAATCAAGTATACACATTTTTCCACTTTGCTGTAGTGCTATTGTTTTGGGTTAAGTTGCAGAGTGTTGATGATATCAGCCGTAGAGATGTCTGCCTTCTCTCAAATATAATAGAACTAGATGGCACTCGGCTTGTGGTGCTCAAAGTGCCAAAAAATTAAATTCAAGACAGCTCATCAGTAATGTCTCTTTTCAGAAATCATGACCCGGTTACTCAAGATAATCCACAGACCTTGTTGTGAGCAGTTTCATGTTGTAACTATTTTCTTCCTACTAAACTACACCCACCAACTGTATCACCCACAGAGGAAAGCGTGCGCCTGCTCACTGAAAAGAGGCATGTGCTTTTGATGTAATGATTAATGGTGTTGGTGCAGCTGCAACATTAGCTAGCAATAAATACACATCTCCCTCTGCGCAGTGATATGGTTAGCGAATGTAGTTCCGTAACAAGGTTACGGAAAATGGTTCCTACATAAAACTGCTCACAACAAGGGCTGTGGATTATCTTGAGTAACCAGATCATGAGACATTGCTGATGAGTTTTTCAGTGCCATCTAGTTCCATATCCTCCTGAGACCCTGTGTCCTCATATGAGGAAATCACATTTTGGGTTTCTTGACCTTAAACTTCATTCTACTTAACTTAGACCTGTTGTCCTCATTTGTGGACACTTTGTGGTGCCATCTAGTGGTAGTAAGAGCACAATACACTAATCCATGTAAAAACAAAATGGCAGCCATCTCTGCCAAGTCAGTTTGCAGCCAATCCTGACACAAAAGTAGACAAGGTCCAAAACCTGATCACATTTTATGGCTGAAACTTGTTTTTTTGTGATGTTTGTGGTTTGATATGGCAACAAATTTGATCACTTTTAACAACAGTAACAAGCTAAGACACTTTTAATTAGGAAGTACTTGTTTGAAGACATTGGGACTTTATTAACGTCTTGTTTGAGGACACTGAGACTTTACTGTTATTCTTGTTTGAGGACATTGGGACTTTATTATCGTTGACAATGTTTCGTTTTTTTATACTTATCAGGTTCTACTGATCCCAAATAACAAGGCGAAATTAAAAACATATACCAAACAAAAGTCCAGGTCTCAGGAGGATATACTGAAGAGAAGGCAGCCATCTGCCAATATATCCACCACTCAGCAACTCAAACCGAAGCAATCAGCTTTTTTCTGCCTTTATGCTAAGCTAAGCTAACGGGCTGCTCGCTGTGGCCTTACATTAAAAGGACAGGTATGAGAGCGGTATCAATCCTCTCCTCTAACTCTCCGCCAGAAAGTGAATAAGCAAATTTTCCAAATTGTTGGACTATTCCTTTAAGGTACTGTCGCAGTAATATAGCATGGTGTCTATAATTTTACCTTTAAATGTAATGACATAAAGACAAAAACAAGTAAAGCTGAGTATAACGTCTTTTAAAGACCTCATTAAAGGAAATTAAACTTTCTTTCTTTTCTTGCATGTTGCCAATTTCATGAAGGCACAATGATCCCAGGGAGGAGACACAGCAATAAAATAATAAAACTGGATCTGGCTTTAATCACACTCCAGTTCTGCGTCTTTGTTTCCCCCAAATTTAGTGTAATCAGTTTCTGCTGTTGACAATCCAGCATTCAGCAGTGAGAATGAGCCCTCCTGCTGTTTAACTTGCATAACTCACTGCCCACATTTCCATCCAGCTGCATATTATCAGTTAAACTCTCACTTCCATTACATGGGGTCTTTAAAAGGCTACTCACCGAAACACCTTCATCCGTATAATGTATTCAATACATTTTAGATACATAGAGAAATATAAAGATATCACATTTACAGTATAAATCAGGTCCTTCAACATAAAAACATTTGAAAGGTGAGAAGTGCGAGTTACATACACTGTTACACACCAGCACTGCCTCCAGTATGTCAAAACAACATAAACCACCAAGAGCTGGGACTGTTTTGTGTCGACTACAATGACTCACACATCATGAATCAACTTGTTAAAAACAAAAGATCCCTCCACTCATTTTTTTTGACCTTCACATTTTACCCCCACATCATCGCTATTCTTTGTTTCTGCTGAGATCAAGACCTAAATGTTAATCTACTAGGCAACAGCTCTTAAAAACTCCTCTAAATGAAGCACATGACAAACACAACCTGCATCTAGGGCTGTACCGAAAGTCCGCCAACAAATATGAATTAAAGCAGAATATTTTGTTTGGTAACAACGTGAATTTTGCACATGATCACATTAGGGATGCTAATTTATAATTTTTCTTTTGTGACCGATAGCTGACCCTCATTAATTGATCATTAACCATTAACCAACAAGTTTGGTCTCTGCGTGAGTTTGTTGGGACCGTTTAACGGCTCGGTGTTGGGTGGCAGCCACTGCTGTGTTGGCTCGTGCTAACCGGGCACCCTTGTGCTAACTGACCATCCTCATAAAGGTGTTGACTTCGTAAATTTCTGTTTCCTTGGATGGTGAAGGTATTACCCACCAAACTCTTTCTCTAGCCCTTTTTAAATAGGAATTGTGCAAATTTGCAGGAAAGCCCAATCCGTCTTCGTTCAGCATTGGCAGTATAAAATCAAAACTGGGGAGTGCAGCGAGGCAAAGGGGGGCGTGAGCAAGTAACAAAACGTGTAGCTCAGCGTGTGACGTAAACAGTGACGTACTCCAAGGGAGTCTGTCCTTCGGCGATTCTCTCGTAAGTTGGCCCGTCCTTCACCGTTCCCGTCATTGGACGACGGCCTCGTTAATGGCCTCTTTGTTTGCAAGGGCAAGGAGGGCGCGCAATTCCTTGTCTCCTCAGTTGCTCATCTTTACTGTGTCTGTCAGGTTTGCGTTTCCCTCTTGCTACTAGCTGCTCATTCCTGCTATCAGCTGTTTCCTGTTTATCCACCGCCAGTGGGTGGCATGTGCGGCATCATCAACAGCTCCTCCAACAAGTCTTCAGCAGCCCCTCCCGTGGCGTAAGGTAGCGGGAGTTACTGGAAATATTTGGATCACGAGTTGGAAACAATCCTAGACAGCCACCACTGGAATCTATGTCTACAGATAGTATAATACTAATAATATTAGTACAGCCTGATCTTTATCTGCTGCTGTGCAGAAATACAGGGTTTTAACAAAATACAAAAAATTGTTGTTGATTTAGAATTTGAATGTCGAGGTTATGAATGAACCTCCAAACTATTCGGTACAGCCCTGCGTGTATCACAAGAGTAATTCAGTCGTCTACATGTTAAACAACATCGCTATGCAGATCTTTTCATTGATAGCACACTGAAAATATACATTCAGCTACTGTCATGATCACCAAGCATAAAATGAACACTAAAATAACTGTCAAAAGCCTTAACAAACAAAAAGAAACATAGTGATGATTCACTATCTGTTTTTTTTTAACCTGAGCTGCTGTCAGAGCAATCAGTCACCTGCTGACATTTTAGCAAAGTACCCACAAATTATTACATGAGCCAATAGGTATGTTTCGACGCTTACTTGAAATCTGGTATTATCTGAGGATGCAATTTCCACATATTTACATTAGGGTTATTACTGTTTTTGTAGAGATATTCTTCTCATTAACGGACACAGGGTACTTGCCATAAAGGTTTTAAAGACCCATATGTTTTTCCAACTTCACTTGCCAGAGTCCAAAATACTATATGCAAACAGACACACTCCAAACATGAAGAAACAACCTTCAGAATGATCCATACTTTGATCGAATGTGTTTGGTTTGATGGGTCATATTAACTTATGTCCCGTACATTCACTGATGAAAGGCAGGCTGTGTTTCTATAGGTCTACTTGGCGTAAATACAGTTTGAAATAATGAAAAAAACAAGTAAACCCCAGTCCGTTGGAATGCCAAGCAAGTTTACAGGTTATTTTTGAAAAGCACTGTTATCCTGTAATCACTAGGCACAAAGAGGTAACGGCTATAGTGGCAAGTGTCGGTTTTATGGACGAGTGTGCATACTGTAATTCAAGGCCTGATTACCTGGTTCTCATAACGAAACACAAGATATGAAACCTAAAAGTTCAGACGAAGCACCTTTATATCTATAAAGTGATCAATACTGTTACCAGGAATCCTACGGAGTGTGAAGGCATGTTTCCGCAACGGATGGCAGGTTTAGTGCGAGGGCAGGGTGGCAGTGTTGGCTGCATTGAGTTGGCCCACAGCTAACATCAGGATGTCTTTCTTCTCTTTGTAAAAACGCAGTTCTCTGCCCGCAAGCCTGGCGTCCTCCAGTTCTCGCTCCGTTGACGCCACCTCCTGAGCAATGGTGCCTGCCACACTCTGTTCCCGGTTCACCCAGTCGGCGGCCATCTGAGTGCGCATGTCATCGTCCAGAGCCCGGTGGGAATAGTGAGCCAGCACTTCCTGTAAATAAAATAAGAGGGAAAGATTGGCTACTAATCACTTTTGTTACCAATGTTACGCACGAAAGTCATGTGACAGACATCACATACGTCACTAGCACAGCATACTGGCATACTACGCTACATTGTTATGTTATTAAAAGATTTCAACGTTGACTTCGTGGCACAAACACTGATCTCCTGGGTGAAAGTCCTGGGCTTGTGTGACACATCCACCACTCCTCCCGCCCACCCTGACCTCTTCCATCTTTTTACAACACTACATGGACTTTGTTGCTTTTTATGCTATGTTACCTCACTTCTTCCTCAGCTCTCATAATAATTACTACAACCACCTGAGGGCGCCGCCTTAAAATAGACGGAAGTATGGGTCATGATAAGCTTCCTGCACAGTCGACATCTATGGCCAATTTTTCGGTGATTGTGTACTGATTTTTTATAGAAACATATATACAAACACTAAGCCTTCTTGAAAATCTGATACTAAACTAAAACTAGCACTCTGAAAACTAACTAAAAGTAAATTAAAAAGTCAAAACTAATATAAAATAACTCTAATTCAAAATATCAAACTATGATAACTTTGGTGAGACTCCAGTAAATCTTTGGCCATGGCTAACAAAATTCAAAGGGTAAAGGATGTAAAACATATTTCCAATTTACAGTATGAACACACCGATATACGGTGGGGATACCAATTTAAACAACTGGGTATTTGCCGGACACGATAGATCCACACCAATGTCAAGTTTTTTCATCAATCTAAAATTCAGTGTTACAGCTATCAATTACATTCATTCAGTCACAGTGGGCTGCCAACTTAGTTTTTAGCAACACAGCAAACCTTGGCCTCACGTTGTCTCACGTTACCTCACATAAAATAGATGTAATGAAATGTAGTGAAAAGGCAACACTGGTAACACTGTTGATCCAAGATGATAAACTACAGCCTAATGCAACTTGAGATTATTTTTGCACATTTTTGGTAGCCTGTTAGAATTTCTAATGCTCTTCTGCAGTGACGCTGTACTCCAGCTCACTGCAGCTCTCTAGCAAGAAAAAATGTTTAATCTGTCTGGACCAGTCATGCTATGTAGGGGAAGACTTAAAACAGACCTTGTTTGTTTATGAGACATAATGAAAAGTCATAAAAACTACTACTGCACTTGGATAATTGAACCCATCTGTGAGGTAAATGACAGTACCTGTCGGGAACACTGTCGTTCTCTCATGGCTTTGAGACTCCCGTTCCAGTGCAGCAGCTGGAACACAGTCATTAGCTCCTGAAACACAAACACAGCCAAGCCAGCAGGAATTAGGGATGAAACTTGCTTCAGGACACTCAATACGCAGCAGCGACTCTGTTATAAATCATGCATGTCTCATTCAGAATCCTTATTTCCAGTTAGATGTAGGGTTCTGGCTTCAAGCTCAATGCTATTAGTAAAAGATAAACAGGTCACATGTGGGCTCAAACTCATGTTTATTATCCCACTGGAGTAGTTAGCTCTATGGAGGCATACAAAAATGACATTTCACATTCAAGCTCAACACATGCGGAACATTTTAACATCTTGGCCCCTCGGCTCAACCTTTGCCAATGATATTTTCACACTTCTTTTGTGCATCTGAGGAGCATAAAATACTACTTAACTCAACGCAGACATTCCTGAATTCTACACACCTGAAACTCCAGCATGGATTTTCCTTTGTTGGACTCAAGCATGAAGCGAAATGCCCCAATTCCTGTGTTGGGATTATCAGCCTCTTCTCTGTTTCCCTGTGAACAACAACAACGAGTTCAAAGGGACCTGTTATGCTCGTTACAATTGTATTTAAGTGTACTTTAATGTGCACTTTTTTTTTATCATTCTGTCTGTGCTGGAACACCTGTATTAACCCTCTGTCGGAAACGCGCCATTTGAAAACCTGTCTCTTTAAGGTCCCGCCCCCAAAAAGCCTAGTTAGCTCTGACTGGCCAGCATTTTCGGGTCTTCCGTATTTTGGTGTCTTGCATAATTTTTTCCCCAAGCATATTCCACCTAATAGTGTGTTACGATTGGCTACTACTACATGCTATGATTGGCTAGTACTGGTCACATTAACACGTCAAAGTCGAGGGCTGTTAGGGCAAGTACAAGCCAATCACAGTAGGGCGGGACTAGGCATAACACACTTGGGAAAAAACATAACACCAGCGTCTTTGCACAGCACTGTTCCAGCAGGAATATATCCCAAATCCAGAGAAAGAAAATTAACACCATTAACAACCAAGTTTACGTGCTTCCCCGATGTTAGCATGAAGCTATACGTAGCAGTGTAGGCTACATGACGTAAACACTTGCAGTAGTGTGCCTAGAGCAGATTACCATATAAAGACATACATCATGGGCCGACTGAAGCTTGTCTCAAATAGTTTAAAAAACAAACAAACACTGAAAACAGAGTACTCAGAACGGTGTGAAGCCTGAGGTGTCTCCACACAGGGATTATTTTCACATATATTTACCCCATTATTTGAAACTTTTGTCATGTTTTATACCAGTATCAGACACTGTAACATTATATACACCGATCAGCCAAAACATTAAAACCACTGGTGGGTGAAGTGAATAACATTGATCATCTTGTTACAGTGCAGTGTTCTGTTGGGAAACCTTGGATCCTGGCATTCATGTGGATGCTACTTGATGTGCTCCACCCACCCAAACACAGCACTTGTCGATGGCAGTGGCCCCCCCAGCAGGACAGTGCACCCTGCCACACCACAAAAACTGCTCAGGAATGAACCGAGGAACAGGACAAAGAGCTCAAGGCATCACCCTGGCCTCCAAATACCCCAGATCCCAATCTGAGCGAACATTTGAGGGATGTGCTGGTACCCCACAGGTATCCCTGATCCATGGTGGGTTCTCCTTGGACCGGACTTGGCTCTGACCTGTCAAGGCATGGACACAGGACCTCTTGAGAGTGTCATTTGGTGTCTGGCACCAGGGCGTTACCTTCAGATCTTTTGAGTCCCATGAGTTCTGAGGTGGGGTAACAACACGTCCCATAGATGTTTGATCAGATTGGGATCTTGGCAATTTGGAGGCCAGCCTGGAGCTCTTTCTCACATTCCTTAGGCCATTCATGAGCGGTTTTTGTGGTGTAGCATGGTGCACTGTCCTGCTGCGGGGCCACTGTTACTGGGGAGTGCTGTTGCCGTTAGGGTAAAGTAAAAGTAAAGGTAAAGTTCCACTGATTGTCACACACCTGAGTGTGTGAAATTTGTTCTCCGCATTTGACCCATCCCCTGAGGGAGCGGTGAGCAGCAGCAGTGCTGCGCTCGGGAATCAGGGTGGCAACAGGGTCTGCACTGGTGTTTAGGTGGGTGGAGCGTGTCAGGTGGCATCCACATGAATGTCAGAACCCAAGGTTTACTAGCAGAACATTGCACTGTAACAAGATGATCAATGTTGTTCATTTTACCTGTCAGTGGTTTTAATGTTTTGGCTGATTGGTGTATACATACATAACAGAAAATAAGAAAGGTTTAATAGGTCCCCTTTGATGTCAGTGTGCTGTGTGGCCCAAACAACATTTTCACAAATACAAGTATAAAGACGGTATAAAAACATTTTTGGTCGAGGGGTAGTTGTGTAAAAGTAATGATATCTGACGTATGTCTCCTTGACGAAAGCTTCTTCAGAGAGTTTAGTGTAGTGGTTTACAATAATTTCTCTATAGAAGCCAACTTGGCAAAAGAGTGAGATTTCGGGCAGCAATTCATTGCAAAGCAATCTTCCTTCATTATTGGTATGCATTGTGCATGCTTTCACTAAATCTACCATACTGCAAATAGCCATGTGCACTACATATACATATATGATGTTAAATAATGTAAAGTATTTGCATCTGTATCTTACATTTATATCATTTTCTGTCCTTTTACATTTAATTTTCTTTCATTTTACCAGTATGTCAACACAATATACTGCACATATACTGTGACTTGCTTCCTCCTTACTGACAGTTAAGGACTTAAGCATGCAACCATCTGTTATCTATTATACCTAACTTACATTGAACGACGCCAGGGCCTCACTGACGCTCTTCTCAATGAAGTCGTCTGTGATGCGTCGAGAGGGATGTTCATTGAAAACAGAGTTCATCAGGGCAATCTTGGCAGCGCTGCGTCTCGCCTCTGCCTTGGTGGGACAGAACTGTCAAACAGTGGGGGAAACATGCATTGGTGGTCAGATAAAATCAGAAATACAGACACGCAGCCAAAGAGATAAAGACAGCCAGTGTTTACGTGGAGTAAAGTTAGCAACAGTGTGCACAGACCTAAATTATCTGTTTTGTGCTCTTGCATCCATATTTGGTATATTGTGGTTGCAGGCATGTTGGAAATTTGTGAGCTTGTAACACTGCACTTGAGTGGCTATTTTTCTTACAGTACAATATTTTTGTACAGTAGAGTTTCTCCAACACACACCAGCATCTTATCACAATCACGCTAAGAACATGCAGACACAGTACCTGGAAACTTCCGAAGCAGCTGCCTCCAGGAAGACTGACATAGCAAACATATGGCGGGCTGTTGGATGGGACCATTTCATAAACAACTAGAGCTCCGTTCCGCAGGTCGGCCCCTCTGGTCAGCTTCATCTGCCAAAACTCCTGTAAAGCCTCCACCACGTTTACTGGAGGGCACAGAGATAACAGAAGCCTCGTCACAGTGGGGCATATCAGCACTTTCACACAGTACCATGACTGCGCACTGCTACATCCTCTCTAAACACAAAGATGGAAATGGTGGGGGGAAGGTCATCTCCAGGATGCCAGAGGTTTTTCCTGAAAATATTTAGGTGGCTACTTAGAGGAAATTCTGCATCACCTCAGAGGAGCTGCTTAAAGAAACACTCCCTCAACTCTACAGTTACATTTCAGCCCTCCGAAAGGAAACAACAACAAAGAAAAAGCCGTAAAAACTTGAGACTGAGTCAGACATGATTATTTGGTTTTGGATCTGCGGGGAGATGTGAGTGCAGCCAACGTTATTCGGGGCTGTTTGACTTCTGTTAGCGTTCAGCTATTCCCTGCTGAGCCCTCGCTGTTTGATGCGAACACAGGCAGCCTGCTTCTCGCTCACGTACAGAGTCTGGAGCCTGATCAGTGCGTTTTAGGGCTGCAGCTTTGTAACTAGTGACTTCTCTGTAAACAAGCTGAGATATATTCTGACATCAGTTATATAAATCCCTAAAGTGCAGTTTAAATAGTTCTGTTATTGCCCTCACTGCTCACTATAAACTGTTCTCTTGTTGTTAGCCAGTTAAAACTAATAACGTGTGTTTAAATGAAAACAGCACTATTAACCAGAGGTGTGGACCTGAGTCACATAACTTGGACTTGAGTGAGACTCAAGTTTGATGGCTTTAGACTCAACTTGACAAGATTAAAAAAAGACTCCACTTGGACTTTAACACCAATGACTAAGACTTGAGCCTTTTGACTTGAAAATACTTGAGACCTTCCCCCCAAGCCCAAAGATATATGAACTAACGTTAACGCTATTCATTCATTCTTAGCAAGTCAACACTTAATTTCCAAGATCCACTTTGTTCGAAACAATCCGACAGCATTCAATCAAGTTACAAGAGAGAACCATGAAAAACTAATGTTACGTTACTAGGCGCCAGTTGGAAAAATGATGATGCCAAAGACAATTTAGTAATTTAGTTAGTGCATACAACAACGACGAGTAATCAACATCAACTAATTACTGTATGTGAAACGTGCGGTTTGAAAGTTACAGACAGAGACACATGAACTTTGAATTATGGTTGCAGCGATATACTGCTTTCAAGGTATACCGTCACATAAATGTTGATGGTTAACATATTGTGCAAATTTCCTTATCTCGGATATTGAAAAAAAAAATGCAACTGGACATGAATCTCCCCTTTATTTTAGTTATTTTCTAGACTTTTTACTCATACTTCCATTAACAAACATTAAATAACCCTTCCAATTTCACTCTTTTAAGGGTCATTCTGACTGATAATAAGATAAATTCGGTCATACCCTGATCCCGCCATAATTTCTGAGATGGTTATCATACCGTGAAAATCTCATACTGCTGCAACCCTTACTTCCAAGTTTGCTCGACATTCAAAGTTGCACAAAGACCAGTACACAATAACATTAACATATAAAGAGACCTAGCTAATGTTAGCTTAACAGCTACATAACTTTTTAATAAACCTGTTTTAACAAATAAATACAAATTTTAAAAAGCATTCATGATTTTTGTTTTGTGAAACTGCTTGAGACTTAGGACGCATTCACACTGGTGCTATTTGGTCCGATTTAAACAAACCCTGGTCCGCTTCCACAGATAGTTCGGTTCCTTTGGAGTGGTGTGAACGCTCATTCGAACTCTGGTGCGGACCAAACGAGCGAACCCTGGTCCGCTTGAAAACTGGGGGTCTTGGTTCACTTACAAGTGAACCCTGGTGCAGTTCGCTTACAGTGGGAAATGCAAACGGACTATCCAGTGAACCAAAGAGAGGAAGTGACGTAGAGAGCAGTGCATTTTGGGTAGAAAAAAAACGAAACCAACAGAACAACCCAAGAGAAGAAGTTTTTAAACTTTTACGCGAGAGGATGGCGGCACGCAGATTTAATCGGTCGACGGATTAGTATCGCATCAAGGTGGGAAAAAAAAACAAAAAACTGCGACAGCAATATATTAAGGTCAGTTACTGAAGGAAATGGATTTCCGATTTTTGTCCTAGCCAATCAATGAGCCGGGTTTACCTCTTCCTCATGCTTTTTTTCTTCCAAGTCAGTGGTCGTTTCGGGCAATACTGCCCCCAAACGAGCAGCTGTTGTAACTGCGCGACATTGTCCAGGCGGTTCGGTCCACTTTATAAAGTGCAGTGTGAAAGTGAACCGAACCAAATGAAGGTGTGAAATTTTTCGGCATTCCCCGCCCAATCGAACAGAGTCCCCCGGACTATCCTGGTGTGAATGCGCCCTTACTTGTGACTTGCAAAACAATGACTTGGTCCTACCTCTGCTTTTAAAAGTTAAAGTTGCTCTCTGTGATATTACCTTCACGACAGATATTTATAAAACCAACGTGTGCTCTGTTTAAAACCTCACAATATATATTCTTTATCCAAAGTATCCTTCCAACTTAACTTACGCTGATACTAGATGTCTGACGAGCCATGGGATGTACAGTATATACATTTAACTGAAACGTTGAGTTGTTTCTCTAAACAAGGGGCCTCTTCCTAACAGTGATAATATAATACATTTTGGTCTGTTTTTTATCAGTTTCAGGAAGAAACAGGAAATATTGGGAGATAGTGGAGGAATACATGTGGCTTGGTGCTGGCTGCGACTCAAAGCCACAAAGCGGCAGTGGCCTGGCATCAATCAGCACATATCTGACATATGTATCACAGGAAAAGTAAAAATAGACTTGGATTATAAAAAGTATATCAAGCATGGTAGGAAATAGGCCTTTTTAAATGATCACTGACAGGATTACTTGACTTTGTCTTAATAGTGGGTTTTACTGCAAATTAAAGCCTTTAATTCCCTGGTAATGGCATAATTATAACTATACCACAGGAAAAATGCAGAAATTACAATACAATGTAGAGGAAATAATTAATACCAAATGGCAAATATGACGTGTGGGTTTTTTTTTAACCTAGCACGCTTTCTTCTACAGAATAAATCCCAAAATTGGAGCGACATTAAGACAAAAATATCAACAGTCATTAAGGCGCTGCCAATGTTGATGGTGCTAAGTAGCCTAAATGGGATAAAGGAGGGAAGAGGCTGTTAGTCAGGAGCACAGAGGGACAATCTTTTGGAAATAAATCCTATTAGTGGAGGACAGGAACGCTTGTACGTCCAAGAGCCAATATTAGTTAGATGCATGCACAGCTCTTTCCACTGTGCTGTAGTGATATGTAAAGTCATTTTTAAAGGTGGATAAAGTGTGTAATATTTTCAAAACATCTTGTATTATCCTTTTTTTCAGTGAAAAATAATAAATCCCAGTTGTGCATATTACATTCATCTGGTTCTGCTTACTAGGAGGTATGGTCTGGATAATACACAGCATATTTTTGATTTTAAGAAGACGGATAAATTCTATTTTGCTCAATAAAAAAGTGGATTGCCTAATTTCACCTTTAAAATCTTTGCTGCTGACAATAAGTAAAGCCCCTACTAGTATTAGTCACAGTTTACACTACAGGAGCAGTATTGTACCGTTTCCAGAGTGAAACAAGATGAATTTCATGTGACTAATGTGTAGGTATAATAGCTTATTGTTCTTAAATGTAAGCCCCAGAGCTGTGGTAGTTAATCCTATAATGAAGTGATGGATGCCAGTGTTACTATAGCTGTGTAAATATCAAAGGGAAACTTTATGGTGAAGTTGCATCAGGTGAAAATCACCATAATACACAGTTAAACAATATAAAGTTGGTATATTTGACACTGTGAAGCCAAATATGATTATTACAGGAATGCAGCGTGTTTTTTTCTGTCGCTAATCCACTTCCAAACAAATGGCGCAGCTAAAAGTGTCTCCTGAAAACTCCCCAAGTGTACACTGAACATTGTGACACACATTAGCCCCGTTATCTGCACATAAAACACAGCTTTATCGCCACTGTACCTCTGCCGTAACCTTGTGTGTGTTTGGCGAAGCTGCGGACCACAGCCTCCACTGCCTCCTTCAGCACCGCCGGGTTCCCCGGGTTACAGTGGCCGGCAGCCCCCTGCCCCAGCCCCGCTCCGATACCGCCGTACAGGCTGTGGAGCTGCAGCGGAGGCGGCGGAGGAGGAGGCCCGGACGAAGCGGCCAGAGAGGCCGGGGAGGGCAGCAGCGGCGCGATGGGGACCGTAACCCCGGGACGGAGAGAGGAGCGGAGGGTCCCGGTCGGTCCTGAACCGAACCCAATGCCTGGCTGTAGCCTCTGAGGGCGGATACTGTCCGGCATAACGTTAGATTCCATTGTCCCAACGTAACGTCTGCGAGGTCCCGCTCTGGATCAGATCTATACCGACGGTTACAGGTTCAACAATGGTCTCTGAGGGCTGGATGAACAAAGTGTTAGCTGGCTTTTGTCAATCACAGCCGAAAGAAGTAGTTAGCCGATGTTCATTCGACACATATCACCGCTGCTGTGCATCCTCACTCTCTGGATTAGACTGCGGGATTGTCAGTCAACTGGTGCCTTCACGGACCCCTCGTATTTTAAAGACTCTCTAGAACCATTACGATGTACTTCAATGTTTAGCCACTGATGTCCGTGGGTCTAGTGCAGGGGTGTCGAACTCATTTTAGTTCAGGGGCCACATACTGCTCAATGGCCCCCTTTACACCAGGCATCAACATGCGTTATTTGCAGTCGGATTGCAATCGGATAGCGCTTGACCGCATACATTTATACCTGGTATTAATATGCCTCTCTTGTGTCCACATACAGATCCGTTTGGTGTGCAATCACACTCATCCTCCTCTTCTTCTTCTTCTGCAAATATTTCCAGCAGCAGACTACAATATCATATCCTGTGCACCACAATAACAACAACAAGATGTTAGCCGCCCGTGAAGTTGTGTTATTGTATGGACACTTTTGTCGGACCAAATTGAGAGCAGACACTTCAGGCGTTTTTTTCAATACCAAGTAGGCCAAGTTCGGACTTTCGCATTCGGGAGTTTGGACTTGGCAAGTTCGAATCGGGAGTACAAACTCCCAAGGATGGCTGCCATTGCCGCTGGTCTGTGTGAAATGCATTCTGGGATTCCTGGCTGTCAGAAGTCCACACAAGTCACCTCCTGATGCATCCCCAATGGGCGACTGACTTGGGCTGGGGCTGTGACTGATGACGTTTCAAAAATCCACAAGGACACAAGTATAGGCATGAACGCAGATTGAGAAATGACTTTCGTCTCACCGTGACTCCATCCTCGACTGTCACCCGTATTTTCTTCTTCTTGGCAGTCGCTGCCCGGTGAGGGTTGTTGTCGTTGTCGTCTTCTTCCTTCTTCCTGTGTCCAGCTGGCGCACCTCGCTTATGTGTTTTTGCCCATTGAGTTGTTGCATGTGGATTGGAGATGCATTTGCATTTACACCTGTGTTTGATGTGGTCACAATGCATCCCTGACCACCTGCAGAAGTGGTTTGGCAGATCGGATAACAATTCGCCCTCAATACGTTTTGAGTGTATTTACACCTGTACATTCATGTGGTCAATCCGAGAGCAATCCGATCACAAAAAACGCATGTTAATGCAAGGTGTTAAGGAAGTAATAGTGATCTCAAGTGGGTTGGACCAGTAAAACCACTGCATGATAACCTATAAATAACTGCAAACATCTCCCTTTTTTTTTAGTGTACAGACATACTCTCTGAAAATTTTCATCCATTTACAAAACAAATGATGAACAGCCTGTGATATCCTCAGGACGTAAATGTTAGCAAGTGGAGAAGAAACAACTTTTTAGAAACTAAGGAGAGAGAAGGAGAGGTGCTTGGCGTATTATAGGAGGTCCACCAGCAGATTAAGCCTATGTCAGCCTAACTAGGGGCTGGTTCAAAACAAGCCTGAGCCAGCCCTAACTATAAGCTTTATCAAAAGGAAAGTCTTAAATCTAGTCCTAAATTTACAATCTGAAGTTTTGTCAGTGCCTCAGCAGCAGGGTTCCACCCATATAGTTTTAAGACAGAAGTCTGACACAGATTGTTTTGTACTGAAGCTGCTGGTTGACAATTTTTTGCACATTGTTCAATATCTCTAAATATGACCACAGTAAGTGTTTATTGTTATTTCAGAGAGCTGTATTTTGGTAAGGGTGGGAAAGCCTCTCAGGCAACATTTTACATGTATAAATTGCTCCTGAAACCTCTCAGCCTTCCCATGTGCATCAACATTATGTGTGCAAAGTCATCTGGAGGGCCGGATTGCACCTATTGGCGGCCAGGCTCTGGCCCCCAGGCCGTATGTTTGACACCCCTGTTCTAAGGTAACGAAACAAACAATTCTTCTTTTCAGGTACACTGGACCTTTAATCCAATCTCTTTATCTTAATCTTATCCTGTGTACTCTTCCTAAAGTTTCATCTTTTTTCTGTCCAACTGAGTTTGTGTGCAGGTGTGTGCAGTTTTTCCTTACCTAAAATTACTGTCTTTGTGTTACTCTATATAAAAAAATAATAATTTGATCACCAGAGACAGCAGTAACCTTGACTTTGACCTTGGCACCGATTTACTGTTTCATTAGCTACACCTTTAATGTTTAATGCAATCCAATTTGGAAGTGCAATTTGTAAAGCTAATAATGTTACAATCATATTTACATTAGCTCAGACTTTTTTTTTATTCAACTCTATGGTTATTGGTGATGTTATTGTTCAATTGAATTACACGTGTCCAATGTTTTATGCACCAGCATTCACATACATGAGGAAGACATTAGAACATTAGAAAGTCACCAGCTGGTGATGGAAGGTGTCTGCCAGTAAAAATCTAATAATAAGCAAATTACACTGCGCAGCAGAATATTACAGCTGGCAGCTAATCACCAGAGATTTCTGAGTGATGCTTGTTTGTACTCCTGATATGTAAATCTGATAACTAACCAGGCCTTTAATATTTGACTCAGTTATACCAGAGGCATTTCGGTTCTGTTGCAGTGTACTAAGAGGTGTAATAGCTTACTCAATTCCCATTTAAAATAATAATCTTTCACTACAATCCCCTTAAACTCCATTTTCTATATGGTATGGATGCATGCAGTTTTGGTCACGCTGTTGTCATAATTACAACATTTCCTACAGCACTTGAATGCAGCAGTGGAAAGTCAAAGAAATATCAAGCCAAGAAATCTGAGCCTCCGCTGTTGTCTGGCACCAACAGAGTACAACTACAGTGTGGGCTTACAGCTCTGCAGCCTGAAGCATGTGATTAAAACTTGGAAGCGGAGTTTACTCGATAAGAGGGAGAAAACAGTGATGATCCTTCTTTGAAACAGATCATGAAAGTATGAAGTAACTGGGTTTAACTTTGAGTTAGTGGACCACCAAAGACTTGAGGAGGAAATGGGACCTCCTCCTGAGCTTCCTAAAAGTTTTTTTTATGACTTTCTGGAGCTTGTGTGATTTTTCATTCTTTCTGTGGTCTGGTGTGGGGCCAGGGAAGTGCAGAGGAGGAACTGGGGAGCATCTGAGTGTCTTTTTTTCAAAGCTGAATCTGCAAAGGCTAATTTTTAACAAATTTGAGTAGACTGGGGGACTGTGGAAATCACAAAAATCTAGCATTTGAGATGCAGCCTGTTATAATTGTTTGCGGGGATACACAACAGAAAGGAAAATCAACAGAGTAATTTATCACAACTGTAATGAGTGTTTGGCTCACTGGAGGGCGTGCTCTCATTTCATCAGTTAATAACCTCAGCTCAGTGACATTTGGACATTGATGTTCTGCAGTTGTTTTATGATGCTTAGTGTGTGTGTGTGTGTGTGTGTGTGTGTGTGTGTTGAGAGTTTCCATTTTATGCTACTTATACTTCTACTTCACTACATTTCAGGGGTGAACACTGAACTTTTCACTCTGCTGCATTCACCTGGCAGCAGTAGTTACTACTCAGATTAAGATTTAACATGTAGAAATGTTGCAGATGAGTTGTGAGCAGTTCCACCCAAAACACATTTCCCCCCTTAACCTCAAAGATGGTTTCAGTTAAACAACAGATTGAAGCCAAAAGAAGTAAAACACTCCAATAATTCACAACCAACAGCAAAGTCCAAAAAGTGGATACAAAGTGGTGTTGAAGAACTTTGTGAACTCATCTCATGACCTGTGAGATTTATCTTGTGGCCCTTTGAAGGAGACCCTGACCCCTAGGTTGGAAACCACTGAACTAAACAACCTAACTGTACATAAAAGTAGCTCCACCTCGACTTGCTACATCCGTAATACCTTTTTCCCCACTGGGTGATCAGTAAATTATCTTCACTGCTTAGATATTCAGTAAAAGTCTAATCATGCTACATGAAAGAGTACTTTTACTTTTGATATTTAAGGATATTTTGCTTATAATACTTGTGTACTTTTGCTTAGGAAGGGGTTGAAAACAGGACTTGAACTTGTAACCAGGGGTGTGAATAGAGACGGTGCAGGCAGGGCAGTTGCACAGAGGCCCATGGGGTGGGGGGCCCATATAGACTCACATTAAATTAAAAATGGTGCCATGTGCTTTATGTGCCTTTGAAAAGGCAAACCCATCTCCATCATGGTTTTCTGATATATNATAAAATATATGCTTATTCTACATGAACTATAAATAAGGTAGAAAAAACTATTCAATTAAATGAGTAATCCTTATTTTCTTTGGTATTTTTGTCCTATACATATATGTGAAGATGATTTCTGGTGTTATGTAATGTCAAGTCCAATAAGATTATACGGTAGCTAGTTTAGGAGCAATAGCAAGTAACTAGTGTTCCTCAGGGCCCGTCATGATAGTGTGCACCGTTGTAACTACCTTACGCCACTGCTTGTAATGAAGCTTTGGGGGGGGTTAGTTTGGGTTTACTGCTGTGTGAAAAAAGTAATAGTTTCAGCAAGTTATATTTTATAGAAGTTACCAGCTGTAGCTTTAAGGTAATGGTACTTTTACTTTCATAACCAATATGTGTTGTTCTTCTACCACTGCTCAACTCTACTCCTTTTTATTATACCATACAAAGGTGGAAGAAGTCCTCAGATCTTTAACTTAAGTGAAAGTAGCAAGACAACAGTGTAAAAATACTCTGTCTTAAATTCAAAATCTTACTTAGGTAAAACTACAAAAGTATTAACATCCACTTACACACTCATTATGCTAATTTTAGAATGACACACATTGCATTACTGGTTTATAATCGATGTATTTATGTGTACATTACTTTAATGTTGCTGTTGGTTAAGGTGTTCCTAATTTTACGCATAGGGGAGACACTGTATCGAACATTTTTGCAAGACGGGCTTTAGTGTAGTGAGCTCGGTGTAGGATTCGACATTGTATAAAACTGGGTCCAGCACATATTGAAGACTTATGTACTCTCCGCAAAATCTCCTCCCAAACATCATCTAGAATCACCTCTCCCAGATCTGTCTCCCAAACTGTTTTAAGTACTATAGAAGAGCCTGGACAAAGATTATAAATATTTGAATAAATAGAGG